GTTATTGTCATTTATATTTTCCTAGAAATGCATTCACTTCATCTAGGTATTCAAATTTTTGTTAGCGTAGAGTTATTCAAAGTAGCGTCTTCTGATGTTTAATTTCCTCTGTTTTAATGGTCATTTTCTTCTTGTCATTTCTTATTTTTTAAGTTTGTACTTTTTCCTTTTTTCCCTTGATTTAGTTAATGGTTTACTTATTTTGTTGATTTTTCAAAGAATAGTTTATGTATTTGTGTGTTATTTTGTTTTTTTTACTTTATAATTCATTATTTGCTGCTTTTATTTCTTCTGTTTTTGTTTGGTTTACTTGTTGTTCTTTCTCTAACTGTTTTCAGTTGGTGGTTAATTTTCTTGAGCACTGCTTTTAATTTTATCTCAGAGTTCCTGGTGTGTAGAATTTTCATTATAATAATTTTCTAGATACTTTGAAATTTCAGTATGAATTTCTTATTTGACCCAAGTTTTGTTTGAGAGTTTTTTGAGGGTCCTATTATGTATTTCTTTTTAATTGCAGTTTTAAAATAATATTTTATTGTGTTTTTGGGGAAACTTTACACATCAAATTAGGTTCCCACTTGACAATTTCTATGCAAATTGTTCAGTGACATTAGTTATATTTTTCACAGTGTGTCAACATTGTATTTAATTGTGTTCTGGTTGTTCCATTTCCAGTGCTTTAATTTTTAATTTCGTTTGATGAGTGTATGTTTTCTACATTAATTATACTTTTTGGAATTTATTGCAGTTTTCTTTGTGGGTTAATACATAGTCAAATTTTGCAAAAGTTCGCATTAGAGTTTGATATCAAAGAAAATAGTTAATTATTAGCATGCTATTTACTTGCACACAAGGGAAACCAGTAATTGAGTCATCTAACAAAGGCAAAAATGAGAGTGTTTTTGCAGTTTGGAAACCGTGTATTTTGATTTCTTTGGGTGAGCTGCAGATTAGTTGGCAGCTGGCCAACAGGCCAGTCAGGGTATTCTGATTTTAGGCACATAGATAGGTCAACAAAGAGAACAATTTCTGTTGTCTAAGAACTTGCCAAGGAGCCCTGGTAGTGCAGTGTTAAGCACCGAAAGGTTGACAGTTTGAACCTACCAGGTGCTCTGTGGGAGAAGGCTGTGGCAGTCTGCTTCCATAAAGATTTACAGCCTTGGAAACCCTATAGGGCAGTTCTACTCTGCCCCATAGGATTGATATGAGTCGGAATCAACTCAGTGGCAGTGGGTTTGGTTTTGGTTTGGAAAGACTCATGAGAAGACTATGAGAGTTTCACTGTGGTGTGTTTGACGGGCTGTCTCTGTATATCTGTCAATGTCATGTGTTATCACCTGCATCTTAGTTATGCCAGGTCAGCACCATTTCCCTTCTCAGAATTCCTCAATATATGTCCATTTGATCTACCATAATGATATGTAAGATTTTTTATATCCTTACTTATTTTTTTAAATTCCTGATCGTTCATGGACTGAGAGGGAGGAATTAGTTTCCTACTACCTGTGTATTTATTTCTCCTTATATCCCTTATAGTTTTTGCTTAATGTTGTTTCTAGGTTATTTGATCCACTATTATTCGTAACTGTTCATCTTTATTGTGAATTGTAACCTTTAGTATTATAAAATATCCTGTTTTAGTCTTGTTTAATACATTTTGACCTGAATTCAGCCTTATCTGTTATTAAGATCTTTATCTTTGCTTTTATTTTATTTTATTTTTTTAGTTCGTTTTCTTGGTGTCTCTTTACTCACCCTTCTATTTTCGACCTTCCTGAATCATTTATGTGTATATCTTTTATATTGCTTAGATTTTAGTTTTGCTTTATGACTCAGTATGAAATTCTTTTTCTCTTAATAGCTGAATTTAGCTTGTTTACTTTCATTGATTTGATATGTTTGGTTTTAGTCCTGTATATTACTTTATGATGCTTTCTATATTTGTACCTTTTAAAAACATTTCAATAAGTGGACTGTTTGCTTTGTTTTCTGTGTGCATTTCTTCTGATAATTAGAAAGGTTTCCATTTTTGTTTCTATAGTTACCTTTTTAATACCCTGATTGTAGAGTGCTCTCAGTTCTCTGTTTATTTAGCTGATATCTCGGTATCGATAATTCTCTTGTATAAGTAATATAGAATTAGTAATTTTCTTCCCTTTATTGCATCACCCACTTTTATCAGTTCGTTTTTCTTAATGTTTACCTTTGTGCTATTAAATACCCATATACTTCCATTAATTAGCTATTATTGTGTAAAGCTTCCTGACTCCCATTTCCTCCTACCAACTTGCCTTGCATACTGTCGGATCGTTCTTCCAAAAATCATTTGTATGATATCACAAATCATCAGAGGTATCTCTGACCTCCTAAAAGTCTGCAGTCTCTTTTGGCTTTCAAGTCTATAACCCAACCTCATTCTATCCACCCAGGCTTATTTCCTCCATGACTTCTCCGTGAGTTTGTCCTCACTGTTGAACAGTTGAGCTGAGTGTAGGAAGAAAAGGCTTCCGCCAGGCTAGGGCAGTCTGCTTTGTGCCGTCGTTAGAGTTGATGACCCCCACCTGCAGACTACTTTCGTCTCGCTGGAACATCTCCCTTCCTTCTACACCCAGCTCTCAAGTCTCAGATCTGTAAGCCTGATAAACTCTTCAGAAACTCTTTAGAGCCTCAGAAAGTCTTGAGAATTGGAAGGTACCTTAGAAGTCACTCAGTGTGATTTACACACCAGCTCAAGGGTTACTTCTATCCCATTCCTGGTCAAGTCAGCTGGTTTGTGGTGACTAGGAACTCATACACTCAAAGCAGCATTGCTCTGTTAGTAACATTCTGGCTTATTGTTCACTGAAGCATGAGAAACTTCTGACCACTGATTTAATTTTGCCCTTTGGAGTAACATGACATCCTTTCACATCTGACAAGCAGCTCACCTTCCCTTAATCTCCTTCAGATGAAAACCTCACCACATCCTTCAGTTGTTTCACATATAATGGGATTTCTAGACCCATTACCAGCTTGTGGCCACATCGGTATCAGCACCTATCTTAAAAAGTTTATTTAAAAAAAAAAAGGTAAGTTCTAGCTAAAAAAAAAAAAAAAAACCAAACCTGGGGCTATCGAGTTGATTCTGACTCATAGCAACCCTATAGGACAGAGTAAACTGCCCCATAGGGTTTCCAAGGAGCAGCTGGTGGAATCGAACTGCTAACTTTTTGGTGGAGCCGCCGAGCTCTTAACCACTGTTCCATCAGGGCTCCAAGTTCTGTCTAAACCAAAACACCAAACCTGTTGCCATTGAGTCAATTCTGACTTATACAAGGGAATGGCTCTCACCATTTTAAATCATGGATCCCTTTGACAAAAACTTTATGGACAGAGGAAAACATTTACATATAAATTACAAACCATGTCAGGGGTTCATGGACTCCAGATTAAGGACTCCTACAGTTGAGGATGGGAATGCTAACTATATAAGGAGAGGTAGGCAGAGGGTGTTTTGGGAACATATAAAGAGTGGCAATGGAGCAGGGGTAGGGTGTCCGCAAGTATTCCTTCCCACAGGAAGCCTGAGCCTGGTCTTGATGCTGCCAAACCAACTGTACTTGATGGTCTTCTTAAAATGTAAGGGATTTTTAAAATGGATGGTATCACTAAACTAACACAACACTAAACAGAGTTCCAAACTCTCCAACATCCTAATTGCTTCAAGTGTGGTAGTTGTATTTATCAAGCTAGATGTAAGCTGGAAAGGCAAGTCTTTCACTAAGTGTTTGAGAAGCACAGCTGTTGATTACAAACTTGTCACGTGGGATTCAGACTCACCTCAACACAAAGCTACCTGGCCTAGTCTGGAATGCTTGTTCCTAACTTTTCCTTAAATTCAGCCCTAAAGAACATTGCATATTAACTGTCTTGAGGTCTGTTGCTAAACCCTGGCACTGTAACTGGCAAGTGAGAATACACAGGATTAATTTTAGAAATGCTTTTGAGATGTAATTCCTAACCTACATGTACAAAACTGTTGAATTTTACTCTGCATAACAAATTCTGTCTGCTAAATTTTAAGATGAGTTAAGTAGTAAATGATACGTGTATTTAGATGAACAGACCACTGTCACTCACTGTTGACCCTGTTGCTTCTCAGTTCCTTGACCCTTTACTGTGCCCCTACTTTTTGAGAACAGATGTCAGTTTTTCTGAAGCTTGCATTAGTGTTTAATAAATTGCAATCTGCAGTTGCTGATTTTAAGCTCAGGGGGCAACAGCTGTGTCCAATATACTTCTATGGAATTCAGTGCTCAGTATGGGATACATAATGAATGGGCAAATGTTTCCCAGTATTAGTTATATTCTACATCTGGGTGATTCTTAAAATTGTATGGGAAAAAATTGTATGGAATCATACAATTATGATTCCAAGTCTGACTTACATGATAACATGGCTCAATGAAGCTGCAAATACATGTCAAGTTTATCTTGAAAACAAAACATCAAAACCATTTTACTGAAAACTAGTTTTATTTTAAAATTAAGTGCATAGCACTCATCTAATTCCATTGGTGTAGACTTTAGCACCATACTTGCTATCTGCAATTAATGTGGTAACATACATTTTGGTTTGCAGTTTGTACTTGAGTAGTGTTTATTTAATGGACTTTGGTAAAGCCCTTTATACATATTAATTTGTTTACAGTACACATTTAATGATGGTCCAGTAATCTCGAAGAAAAAAAAAAAAAAAAACCAAAGAAAAATCCAAAACTACCTTAAAGATTAATTAATAAATTAAACAAAACAAAACCCACACAGTTCTCCCACCTCCCCGCCTCAAAAAAAAAAAAAAAAAAACTTAGCAGTTTGAGTTGTATTTATTGAACCCTAATGTTTTTAAAATAGTTCTGGTTCTCCAGCCATCCCACCTGGGTATGCAGCAATAGTAACCAATTATTTTATTCTACCCACCCAGCCCCCCCCGTCCCAAAAAAAAAAAAATCAATCCAGTGTTCTTTAGCATCTTTAAATATACATTGGGAAAGTGTTAATAAGCTTTTTTTTAAAAGGCATATTCTTCTATAACAAGAATGACATTTAAACCAAATCCATAAAAGCATTTGACAAGACATTAAATTACCATAGGCACCAGTTGTTGTTTCAAGTTGGGATCTCTATCCCAGTATCTTACATTCATAGTATTATTGAGGTAGTTAAAATACTGAAAATTGGATCCAGGTTGCTGGGTTCTGAATGTGAATGATAGATTCCCTTTTGAACCTACTTTCCCCCAAATAATTCAAGTTTTAAGGTAAGAACTACCAAAATCCAATTAGCAGCCTTCTGTAAAGAGGGAAAGTGATACTTTCAGAAAACAATTTTCATGCTTGAAAACTACTATGAGCTTCTCTTACCTGAGTGTTTTTTTTTTTTAAGTTTATCTACCAGACTAATAAATCCACATCATGCCCTGTGTGCTCTAAATATAAAAGTAATCTTCATTTTAAGGAAAGGCTATTTCTCTAAGAATTCATGCTGGCAGAAGCACTCACCCATGTTCATCCACCGGAGCCCCCTGGATCAGTCTGTTACTGTGTGGAGCTCCTTCCCTTCCTAACAAAAGCCATTGGGCTTGATTGCTGAGACTCCTGCTGCATACCCACAACTTATTTATAATAAGTTTGTCTTCAATACATATTGTGGCAGTCACATATCTGCCACGCAGACCCCCTTCTATTCAAGTGCTATTTTTTAAAAAAGCCTCCCTCCACCAAATCTCACTTCTCCCACAAATTAAGAGTACAATGTATACCGTTTATCAGTTATTACAATGATTTTTTTTTTTTTACTTTTTAAATTTATTCTCCAAAACTCTTTACTCCCAAATTGCCCTTGCTGTAATGATTATTATTACTGTTTCACTCACTATCAGTAAAGTGAAATGTTGTCCCAGGACAGTTCTGGGGCCAATCCAACAAAAGTGGCTACAGAATTTACTAATTAGTACCTTTGCCTGCTTAGACTGACAAGCTGGATTCAAAGGTTGCTCTTAAAACCTGTCTTCCACATAACAGAAGAAAGTGCTGCTGTAGCACAACCTGGGAACTATCCTGGCCACGCTCCACTCCAAAATAAACCTACAGAACTTTATTCTAGTAGTGAATTTATAGTTATGCCTTTCCTTGAAAAAAAGCGTTTTTTTAAGAGTAATATCAAATCTAAGTATAGACCACTGATTGCACCAAGAAATGCAAAGCCCATATATATATTATGAATCATAGGAACCACCACTTCATTCTGAGCTACAGTGTATGTACTCATTTGAAAACGCATCTTAGCATGAGTATTTAGCCTACGTTATAAAGGTAGTTCATACTCTAACATTCCCAAAGCATGCTGCATTACAGTTAACTGTTTCCAAGTAGTATAAGTTCCCTGAGTTAAATGTGTTTTTATCCAAAGATATGAAGGTGATCATTTAGGGAAAAAACAAAAAAATATGACCATGATTTTAAGATATCTACTTCACCCTTAACTTTAATACATAAATCCAAATACCTATACTGTTTTTGATAGGGAGTGATATAGAATCATCTAAAAATTTTTCCTTTTTTTTTTTTACTGTGCAGGTTGGTATAGCATAGCAATTACAATTTTTAACTTGGTCAAAAGTTCATCTGTAAATCAAAAATATAACTCAAAACTGCAGGAAAAAGAGATTTCTTAAAAAATTAATACTGTTAACTTTCCTTCATAAAAGACTGTATGGCACGTCCACAGATAAAGATTAGTCTTTGACATATAAGCCACCATTAGGCACAGAAACCACCACAGGTCAGATTTCAATATGGCGAATTGAGGTTGGTCCAAATTTTCAGTTATATTGAATATTTTTGAAATATTTGGACCACCAGCCAGGGCTTGAAAATCTTTTCACACAGGGATTTGTAACAAGATTTGATATACACAGTATTAAAGTGTTTGCAGAGTTTGCTGAGTCCTCCCAGGTGGTCATGGTGCACCGAAAGGGATATGCAGTCTCCTTGGAGCTGGTATCTGAAGTGTGCTGATGCCATTTCACTCCCTTTCCTTTTGAAGAGAAGTTTAAAAAAATCTTGCCCCAGAGCATCAAGTCACAAAATAGTCTGGGTCAGGTATTACCTTCACACATAGTCACCTTTCAAAGCATGGAGTAATGCAAGGATAATGTTCATTTATCTGGTAACTCCGATTATAAGAAACACTCAAACAGGGCTTAACTTCTACTGGTATTGCTAGTGACATCCCAACACCAGTCTGCACGTGCCCAAGGCCCTGAACACTAGTTTGGAAGCCAGCAGGACATGTCTGTAATGTGTAAGATGAGGTGTGTGTGGTAGATACAATCTGTTGACAGCTTGGTTGTTCCGATACAGGATGGCGATACTGCAGTGAAGTCTGATGCGTCTGATGGAGATACTGGGGTTGCTGAAAGTGAACTGGTCGTGAGGGCTGGGAGGTTGTCTGAAACACACTTAATTGTGCTGATTGAGGTCCTGCCTGCCCTCTCTGTTTGTTTGCTTCTTTCACATCATTATCATGAGCACTATAACACAGAAAGAAAATAATTTGTTAATAATGTTACCTGACAAGAATTTGCAAGAAAGTCATGCCCTACTCCCACACCCTCAACAGCTGACTCCACAGACTGCCACCACTGTCTGGGTAGCAGTCACTGTGCCATAATTTCAACACAGTGACATCATCTCACTCTTATCCTTCTAAGGCACCTTCCCTTAGTAGGAACCTTGGGAACTGGCTGCTGGTAGCTTTGAAGGCTATTTCCAGTTGGGAGATACAGCCACAAGAAGAACTTAAGTGCAGCTGCCACTCTGGTGACATCCTGGTGGCTCCAAGAAGTCAAAGATATGAAAATGGGGAATGGGGCAAGATTTGCCTGATCTCAGAGTTATAGGCTTACAGACACACAAGAACTGCTCCTTTCTCTACCGTGTACCCAGAATCATACTAGCAATGACAACCTCTAGCCAGCTAACAGCCAAGAAGGGCTCCCTTTCTACAGAGTGCTGCTCATACAGCAGGTTACTCAAAGCAGCAAGCCGAGCAAGTATCCTAAAAGTTCTGTGCCGTTGAGAAGTTATTTTTAGGGAAACTTACAGATGAAGAAAAATACTGAGAAACTGAAAACACAAGAACAAAAAGGCTTACATCAACAGCCGTTCAATACACTGCACTAGGAAATCCCAGGAGTAAGCAGTAAGACGATGCAGTCTAGTAGGCCACGTTGGAGAAAGACGAAGTATAATCCTTGAAGAAGCCACACATGCAGCAGCTACTAAAGAAGGTGCATAATTTAGAAAGGCATAATCTGTGGAGACACCAAAAATGAACTTAAGAAACAGAATACATAGGTCACAAGCTCACAAATCATTTACTGGCTTCCACAACTCACCTTGCAAAGATACTTCCAGAAAGTAATCTGCGTATTTGGCCATGTACAGTTTAGTTTTTTCCAAGCAAATCATTGGCCAGCCATCATGAAGGTCTGTTTCATGTACTGCTTCGGACAGGTAATACTCAATGAAATGGGCAGCTGTTGGAAGGCAGAGGTTCCACTGAAAGGTTTCTAATAATAATAGCTCCATATGGAGCAAATTTTGTTTTGTTAATACTAGATTCATATTAGTCATACAACCCAAACTGTTGAGCTGCTCCAGCTTAGGCACACTGTCTTCTTTTTCTTCAAATTTACCTTATAAGAAAAGGGGAGAAAGAGACAATGTTAGGCAGCTGATTGTTCTAGAATTAGTTGGTAAATGGGATTTGTCGTCTGCTGTCTTACTGCCAGGATTTAGATCCAAAGACATTTTTCCCCCTACCTTATGCATATATCATTGTGCCAGAACTCTCTGTGGTTCTCATATTTGCATGTTTTCACCACCACCTTCCACTCCTCCCTCTTACCCCCCAAAATATGCTGGGAATATGTAAACATTTTGATCTATGTCCTGTTGTATAACAGAATAGTCATTTATGCCAGTGAATAAATAACATCTCAAATCTCACCAGCTGAATCTTTTCAGGAAATTTCTTTTTAGGGGCCTGGTGGTGGTGATGGAAGAAATTTTAAAAATAGAAGATAGTTTAAAGAACCTAACATCATTGCTTTATCTGAAATAAAAAAATAGTTTAGCTTCGAGTGTTTCATCTCAGCATATTTTCAGTTTAATCTCAATTTCAGAGAGAACTAAGTTTGGGAAGGAAAAAAAGCTAGGTGACTAACACAAGCACTCTCATTACACATACAAAACAGCCATCTCGCCTCTTCTGAATCCAAAGCAGAAATCTAGTTAAGTCTGCGGAAGGGACGATACTTTATATACTCTTTTATCTTCTCTATACAGTGGTTAAGTGTTTGGCTACTAACCAAAAGGTCGGCAGTTTGAATCCACCAGCTGCTCCTTGGAAACTCTATGGGGCAGTTCCACACTGTCCTATAGGGTCGCTGAGTCAGAATTGACTCGACAGCAACGGGTTTGGGTTTTTTTGTTTTTATACTCAAAGCAGAATAGGAGCAGAGATGATCTGATGGCTGAACTTCATTATTTGAAGGCATTAACTTCTTTCCAGGAAATACTCATTTACAGGGATTTATGCACAGCTGAGGAATTCCCTCTCCAGTCCCAGAATAATTTTTTCCATAGTTTATGTTCCACCCTACACTTTTATTTCCAAGCAAACATTTTACTATATATATAAAGCATTGTTTTGGGGGGATTTCTAGAACTTATGGCTGGAGAAAAATTGTGAACTAGCAAGTACTATTATGGTTTGCCAGATGCAACAATAGAACCAAGGAGTTGTCTTCAAGTCTTTTTAGGTCTTTGTTCACCGTGGTCCCTAAAAGAAGGAAATTATAACTAAGGCCATCTACCTCCTAATTCTATTTTACATTAAGGTTTCTAATATGTCACATCATATTACAATTATTGTAGATTTCTCACAGTATCTTTTATACTCATACTTCAAGATTATGACTGAGTATGCTACTAAAGAAGCACGTAGTACTGTATCAAAAATTTAATATTTTGATAACCATTTCAATACATTTGGTTTCCTAAGGAGCGCTGGCGGCGCAGTAGTTATAAATACTCAGCTGCTAACCGAAAGCTTAGCTGTTCAAACCTAGAAGCCGCTCCAAGGGAGAAAGATATAGCAATCTGCTTCCGTAAAGATTTACAGCCTTGGAAACCCTACAGGGCAGTTCTGCCCTGTCCTATAGGGTCACTATAAGTTGGAATCAACTCAACGGCAACAGGTTAGTTTTCTTGGCAATCTTATCATTTTATTTTACTTATTTAAAAGACTATTTTGGAAGAGCCAGAAAGACTGCTCAAGCAGGGAAAACCAAATTGAGTTTCTCCATGAAGTTTCTCTTCCAGAAGGGATGGGTTTGCACTATACATTGAAGCTGCTGCTATTGACCTGGGATACTCAGTACAGCTCAGGGTGCAGGCAGTGGTGCTGAAGCCAGTTGGAGTGTGTTCACTTTGGCCTGCCTTGGAGCTAGGGAAAAGGCATTGCTGACTGCCTTATTCTTTGTTTAGGGAGGGGAACTGGGGTTGAGGGTTTGTCTCCTATGCCAGGAGATTCTAAGCTAATGACTTGAGAAGAGTCTAAGCCCAAAGAAGCAGGAGGGATGGTGGCTCTTCTTACTCCAGAGAAATTTTGAACTTTAGATCTGAACCACTCTTTTCAAAAACCCAGATAGCCCTTCCCAATTCAAACCACATAAAGATGAATTTCACAAATCAGCCAGTAGCACATACTTCTTACGTTTGAAAGCCCTAAAGTGGTTTTTATGACATAATTATCCAGCATCATCTCTGCATAAAGATATAGGAGATGAAACCACTGTTCTCAGTATAACAAAGTGAAATTCTTCAGAAGGAGAATGACCTAGGAATTTAGTTCAGTCATTCTTGGATGAATCATTAGGGCTTTCAAAGTGCCCTGCCATTTGTGTAACAGCAGCAATACTGGCAATATACTTCAAAAGAATATTATAAAAATTAATGTGTTATATTTATATCATGCTTGAAGTTCCTTTGAAGAAATTAATATACCACAATTCACTGTTTAATTCAAGGATCAAGAATGTTTTATATTATCTCCTTGACAACTTTCAATACTGCAAACAAAACTGTATATAACTAATTTCACAGCTCACAAATCCAAGGTAGTAAGGTTGGCTAATTCATTTAAGGTCAAATAGGTTGAGAAAAGCCAAAAATGGAAACCAAAAAGAAAACTTACATTTGAACTCCCAAATCTACACTGCTAGACCAAAGCATTGCACAAGGTTAAATGGGGACAACAACTACCAGAATAGACAGACTTCTAGATCATTAAGCATCTAAGGAGCATCTATTATAAAGTACTTGGCTATTTCAAGTGTTAAAGACTTTGCATCATCATTTGCAAAGTTAAAAATAACCTGTGTACTGTGTAAATAACCATAGTTGGAATTTTTTTTTGGATTTTTTTTCATTGTATAGTAGTGATATAAATACTCAGATACATTAAAGGATTTCAATATCTATGACAGTGTCAATGAGTACCTGCATTCACATCTATAGTTTTTGTTGTGCTGAATGCTATGTGTGTGTATTTTGAATCTATTTATTCTCAATACCACATACAGATTAGAAAGATCAGTTTCTTAAATTGAAAGGAAATATCAGAATCCATGTGATTATATTGATAAAGGCCCCAAACAAGAAATAAGGACACAGGAAATTTATGTCTGCTTCCCAGAAAATAAAGAATTAGAGCCACAGAAGCCAACCATCAAGTCTTCTTTACTTTATAGGCAATGTGCAGATAAGCCATGGAAACCAGCACATTTCCAAAGCTGGCAATGAATGGCAGAAATGTGGTAGAGAAGATCTGAACACTGAGTAGGGCATGGATCAGTCACTTCGAGGTCTGCCAACCCAATTCTGTCCTTCTATTACTAGGTGAAGAAAGTCATCTTAATATATACTAAGAATCCTCACAAATCTGTAAGACCATCAATCTAACAGAAAAATGGGTAAACAACAGGGAAGAGGCAATTCATTAAAAAAAAAAAGAAAGATTCTAAGCTCATTAAAAATTGAGATGTAAATCAAATCAACTGTGAGATACAATTTTTCACCTACCAGACAGTAAAATAAAAAGCATTGCTAACACAAGCACCTGTCACCAGCTGTTACTAGTACAAGCCTATAATCTCACTTTTGGCTTCATCTTGACTCTAAGATCACTTCTTAGTTACATAAATCCTTGAATAAATTATCAGAAGCCTTATCTCCAAGATTGCTTCTCTGGTCTCCCAAGTTCAATGCTGATCTTAGAAGCCCAGGGGAGCTGAAGTATGGATGTGAAAGAGTTGAAATTTGAGAATTTCCAAGGACAAATCAGGGCCCATTCTAAATTGAGCCAGAATCTTTAGACAAAGGGGACCAGGCCAAAGATAACAGAGCAGTTTACAGAGGAATTAACTATTACAATGCCAACTTGTATTTATGTTTCAATTGCTATGTGCTTTTAAATATATTAACCCCACTCGATCCTCGCAACAACTTTGTAAAGTTAAGTTTCTTTATTTCCATTTTATAGTAAGAAATTCAAACCCAGGAAGTCCATCATTACAGTTCATGCTCTTAAATACTATATACCACTCTCCAATCAGAGATAATCTATTAGGCCCTTTCTTCCTACTTCTAATAGTATGGACAAGTAGGCAGCTGGATAAGCATTAGCACCTGAACTGACAAGCTGTGCTCCATCTTTGGCTAAACTACATACAGCCTCCCAACCTATTCCCTAACTGGAATCTAACTGTCATCCACTCCTGTCAGCTATAAACTGCTCTTCACTTTCACGAAACAGGCCACCCATCCCAAAGAAGGGAGTAGCTGAGGAAAGGAGACACACAGAGCTCAATCATTCTGTGAGAAGAGAAATATTGTTTGAATAAATTTTATTATAACCAACTGGAGAGCTGCCATTGGTATCCAAAGATAAGAAAACAGTATATGAATGTTAAGAAACACTAGAATGAACTCACAAAGTTAAAAGAGACATCAGATACTGAAAACTGCTTATCTGCTTATCAGCACTGTAAGAGTATTGAATATATTGTGTGGACTGCCAAAAGAATGAACAAATCAGTCTTAGAAGAAATACAACCAGAAAGCTCCTTAGAAGTGAGGATGGTGAAACTTTGGCTCGTTTACTTTGGACACATCATCAAGAAAGACCAATCGCTAGAAAAGGACATCATGGTTGGTAAAGTAGAGTCAACGAACATGAGGAAAACCCTCAATGAGATGGACTGACACAACAACCACAACAATGGATTCAAACATACCAATGATCATGAAGATGGCACAGGACTGGACAAAGTTTTATTCTTTTATACATAAGGTCACCATGAGTCAGAGCTGATTTGATGGCATCTAACAACAATCACTTCTGTTACAGAGTTATAGACTGGGAAGAGAGATTGCTCCTGGATGCTAAAGGGCCTGCCTGTTAGATTCCTGACCCTAGTATAGAGCTGATAGCTTGAACTCTTTTGACCTCTACCTACCTGGACAGGACTGAGACCCTCAGAGCTACTTATCTCAGCAATTCCCACTCTCCAGTGGAAAACTAACGATGATAAACACAATTCTTCTCTTTTGGGGAGAGGGTGGTTGAGGGTGTTAACAGAACAAGGGAGGAAGTATCTGGCTGTTTCAGTAATTAGGTGATAAACAATTCATATTTGAACCACAGCAAATACAGATTCTAAAGTCTTGTTACTGGAAATGAGCCAAAAATACCACTGAAATAACTACATGTTACATAGATTTAACCAAATAATCTTCAACAAAATAAACTGATCATGACAGACTAGCTATACTATATAATTGAAAACCAAAAGCAATTAAAAACTCCATTCTAACCAACGTAAGATGGAAAACAAAGTATCTTTCCACCAAATTGTGGAAATTATAAGAATTTGGTACCAATGCCAACCTCTGCATGGTAGAATTGTTATCAGATTATTCATCTAGAGTCCTCAGTGAACTTGAAATATGAACTTGTTGTAACATGTAATTTATGAGTATCTAGTTTAGTAACTCTTAACTCTTTTAGTAAGTTGTTAGTAAGTAAACTTTAGTCACAAATGTAAGTCAGTCTATGAACTATGAATCATTCATTACTTCCAGCTCCCAAGATGAGCCTCCCACTAATCTTTAGAATTGTAGGCACAGAGTGGGTGGGGCTTGGTAGTGGCAAAATGATAGTGATGGCTACAGCAGGCACAAGGTTATCCTCCATTAATGATGTTCTCATCCTAGTTTTAAAAATAACCTTACTTGCATGTTTGACTTCCAGTTCTAGAAACTGATCCGAGAGTAAACTAACATCCTATAGGATATCAAAAACCATTCCGTTGTGGGCTCTCACGTGTGGGTTTTCCCTATCCTATGCAAACTATTAAACCACAAAGGACTTCATAGCCAGAAACACGTTCAGTATTGTATGCGTGATTACTTATGAGGATGAAACCTTAATTAAAGGTTAATATAAATGTAGAAGCATTACTTCTCTGGCTTCTGGGGTGGGAGGGAAGAAGCGGGTGACGTGTCTGGATCTTAGAGGACAGCCGATTAAAGGGGAAATATAGATATTCAGGAAATAGATATATTTTGGTAAGAATTCAGCTCAAGGCTATGGTGATAGGGTTGGCAGATGAGACTGGAAAGGTGGCTGGGTCCAGATGAAAGGTTCTAAATGCTACAGTAAGGACTTTACACCTTAACCCACAGACAGAAGTCATCTCTGGGGCCGTGTCTTATTTATATTCAGCTGGTTTCACAAAGGATTTGAAAGAACTTACAAAGAAACATTCAAAAGGATAAAATAAGTAGTTGAGATCATCAAATCAAAGGAAGGATAGGAAAATAAAACTTGAGAAGAGAGTGCCAGAAATGATACCACATAGGCCTGCATTTGGCTTTAGGTTTATTAGCAGCCAAAACACAAAGGTGTTTTAGAAAGAACTCTGGGGGAATGTTCCTTAGACAGCAGCTACAATGGATCTCAAATCCTCAAGTGGAGGGTTAGAGGTGAAGGTAGTCGATAGAATCTACATATTTCTTTGAAGTGGGGCTTAAATTTCTATTGTAATGACATGGATAATATAAAAACTACATAATTCAGTTTCAGTACCAAATATGATCTTTTCACATTACCAAAAGAAGAAAAACTCAATTTCAATTCCTTTTCTCACCTTCTCTTTAGTGAGGGTATTAATGAGCAATGAAATGAGTTACATGCCAATGTTGAGAAAAAGGCACCAAAGGTTCAACAACAATATATTCTGCATTGGATAACAAGTATGGTTATATCAGATTCTATCTTTCTGCCTACTGTCTAGTTGTGTCTAGTGCACAGGCCAAGGTCTTCACATCTGCAGCAGCTGCACATGAATTTTCAGTTCATTATACCAATTCACTATGTTGAAAGTATTCTAACAATAAAGTATGGTATCTTCAAGATGGAGTTTCTCAACCTTAACTCCACTGACGTTTTGGGTCACCAGATAATTCTTTATTGTCCTGTGCACTGTAGGATGGTTAGGAACATCCCTGGCTTCTACCCACTAGATACCAGTAGCATCCCCCTAGATTGTTACAACCAAAAATATCTCCAGACAAAGTATCTCCAAAAAGTGCCCCTGGCTGAGAACTACTATTTTCAGACAATGGTTCTCAACTGTAAAGGTACATCCGAATCACCTTTGGAACTTTTTAAAACTTAAAAAAATATCCATGCCCTATGATGCAGAGATTCTGATTCAGCTGATCTAGGGTGGGCCTAGACATTTATATCGGAATCTTCAGGATGTAGGGCTTAGGAACATACGTTTTTAAGACTTCAGAGACACTTTTTAATGTCTGGTTAAGAATTATTGTGATGAGAAGAGCTTTCAACATAAGCTTCTGATACTAGTGAACTGGAATGAATGGGATTTGCTGATATTTTACTAAGTTGTACATAAATTTACTTTACTGTAAACAATGAAAATTCCCACTCATGTAGATCAGATTCATACTTACTTGCTAGAAGAAGACAGGAAAGTGCAACTAAATGCAGCTGCTGGATAGAGATGTCATAGCGATCCATAAACAGGTCTAGCAAATAGACAGCAAGATGTCGGGCTGAAGGGCAGAGAGTGAAGCGATTGCTAACAATGGCAATCAGGTCAGCAAAATACCGTCTGAGACTTAGCTGAGGGGACTGGCCTTTGTAGGAGGGCAACTTCAGCTCCTAGGTCAAGAGGAACAACATTTAGTCTGACATAATCTGTAGAAGTATCCCTACAATGCGAAGACTTAACATTGTTTTTCCAACATATCAGTGCTGCTACACATGCCTAAAACACCCTTTTCTTACGTGTTTTACAGTTGAGTGGAACACTTCTAAAAGCTGAGTGGAAGGATAATTAATGGCATTTAATTTAAAACCAAACTTTTCTCTTTATTCTTTACCACCTCTGACAAGACCAAGTATAGGTATTTCTTGCCCTATGGAATGGATGGATGCTTTCTAGCAAGATTTTTAATAAGGGAATTGTTTTCCCTACCAGGTGTTTTCAGAAAAATGTCCTTACCAAAACATCAACCACACCACACTACACCACATCACATCCTCTTGGAAGCTCAAAGCTTTTGATTAGAAGGTAACAGATAAATGGCTATGCTCCTGGTGTACTGCATACTACATTATACTTGCAAGGATGAGGAAGGTGGAAGACCAGTACTCATCCATTAGTATCTTCTAATCATGTCTCCTTTTCAGAAGTTTGATGATCTTTCCTTTGCCATCATCCTTTCCTACACCTAAATTTCTTCCCCTAACTGTTCAATTTTTGAGCTACATTAGAAATTATTCATTTTTTAAAAAGCAGAAAATCTGTCTACTATTAAAAATTTTTCAGAGCGTAAAGATGGAAAGCTTCCAAATTCATTTTATGAGATCAGCATAATACTAATACTACACTCAATATGTATCACTAAAAAAGGAAGTTACATATTAATCTAGCTTAATACTAAGATATAAAACTACAAAACTTTAGATAAAATATTAGCCAATGTAGTAGTGTATCCAAAGAATATATCATCATCAGTTGTTGTAAATCCTAGGAATGCAAGGATTTTTTTTTTTAATAGGATACAACAATTTTCTTAAGAGATGGTAGTCTTCACTTGTTAGATACGTATTTTTAGTGGACTTAATTTTAAATTTGAACTTCTGTTTGAAAACATAAAATAGCCTCTTTTTTTTGTAAGGATGGTTTGATATTTGAAAATCTATTAATGTAAGTCACAATAATTTATGCATAGATGTGCACAATCATCTCGAAAGATGCCAGAGCAAGTAACCCTGGGACAAATAACAACAGAAGTACGCTTCTTTGACGATGGAAATGAAGGAGGAAAGGAAGGAAGAAGATCTCAAACATAAGAGCCAGCATCTCACTTGGAGGTGAAATGCTAGAAGGCTCTTTGAAGATAAGAGAAAAAATATATTAATTTCTCCAAACATGGGGAACATGCTAATTTTTCATATGTAGCCCTGGGATTTTTCTTCTCTCCTTTGCCACAGTGTTGATGAGTTGCAGCTTCAAACTTCACTTTTCTTCACTGCCATCATGTGACATTTACTGAGCATCTACCATGTAGCAGGCACGGTGCTAACTCCAGGGATAAAAGCTGTAAAAACAGTTTCTGGTCTCAATCCTCTCTCTGGCAGGTGAACCAAAGTACAGAGATTACTAGAATACAGTATAGTAATCACAGGGTATTATGGGAACACTGAGGAGGGAAATCTAACCCAGCTCAGGGGGTTACGGTGTTGAGGACAAAAAAAAAGCCAGGGTAGGCTTTCTGGATGAGAAGCCTGAAGGTCTTAAAGGCTCATTGGAAACATAGCTGAAAAACACTAGTGGCCTTCATTTTAAAATATGTTAACTTTACTAAATGAAGAAATGCAAAAATAAAGGCAAGAACCTCAAGGGCCATCACTAGATTTTTAACAGTGTGTCCAATGCATTCTCTATCTTTTTAAATGGTAAAGTATCAATATTACTTAATCGCTCTGCAAAATGTTGTAGCAATTGTCAATCTGACCAAGTGTTTACCAGCTGGCCATCAGATTTAGTTATCTTTGTTCAAGTAATGAAGCTATAAGAGCTTGAGAAAATGACGTATTCTTCACTCAGTTTACAAGTTTCTTCTGCTGTCTATTCCTGATCCCTAGAATTGACACACTTTTTCCCATCTGCTTCTCAGGATTCCATCGGACCAAAACACAGAGAGGCCTGAATGTTACCTCCATCTCATCTCAAGTACTCCTCAGGTCACTACCCCAAACGCCATCCCCTTCCCGGAATGGGTTAATGCCCAGCCAGGATGGAAATAAAGGCATGCAAGGAATATTCATAAGCATAAGCACAACTCTGTGGGATATTTTCTTAAGGTTTCTCACAAAGCTAGAATCATTCTCATCTGTCATAAAGGCTCCCCAAAATACTTCCCTCCAGCATCCTACAAAATGATGAGAAGAAAGAGAAGGAGGTATCAGTATAAGGGTACAGCTACTATGTAGGTTTGTTTGGTTTGGTAATTATATTTTACAAAAACAATACAGTTAGCATTTTGGGTTGAAGAGCATTTCTATTCATTGTAATTTTTATACTTCCCTAGTATATACAGTGCTGGCCACACCAATTACCTCTCCACAAACACTGAGTCTAAACACAGAACACCTTCTACAGTATCCAAATGGCAGCTGCCCAAAGGAAGACCTAAATTCATATGCTCTGATTCATGTCTGTCTCATTCACTGTTACTGCTCTAACACCTGGCATAGCACACATAGCAGGCACTCAAATATGCTGACTAAATAAGCAAATGACTATCCAACTAAACCACCTAGTTTAAGAGCCTTAACTTTCCTTGACTTGCGTGTACTATAAACAATGGTCTCTTCAGTTCCATAGGCTCCAGTTTCACTGATTAACATAAACTCTTTATAAAGTGTGGCCAACGTGTCAAATCACAAGAAACATGGCCTGTACAATGCTTAAAGATAAAGACAAACTAAGGCAGTATGCTACAGGTGGCCCAGGACAATTTTCAGTGTATTTCCTTCAGACCGTATACTGTCTTGTCCTCTGATAGTTCATAAATAACTTGAGTGCAGGATTGTCTTACTCCTTGGATCCTACAGAGCCTAATACATAAAAGCATTCATTCAGCAAATCTGCTGAGTAAAAAAAACAAACATCTACCCCCAAACTCAACTGACACAACTGATTCAGATAATCATTCAGGATTAAAATTTCTACACATAAAATTTAAGAATAAAAAATCATGAAATCCATCAAGAAAATCTTTAAGTTTCATGTCAATTAAAAAATACATGTATCATTAATATCAAATAATTTTACCACATACTGGAGGGATAAAGAGCTGATACTTAAAAAAGAAGAACATTTCAAATTGAAAGATGACCTTGAAAAAAATATCAAAAGTGTATCCGGACAGTTTTCAAAGTGGAAAACCTGCAGCTCTATTCCTAACATTCCAGCAGCCAACCCACCGTTGTGACTTTTATGTGGCATTATCTCTAAGGGTCTGAGATGTGTCTAAAGACAGAAGGTCAGAATAAATAAGTAGCATTTAGAAATGTGAAGCCTTAGGAGAGGGTACAATTGTAATAATTAAGTCAGAATTTGGTTTTCCAATCTATTTAACCTGGTCAGATACTCAAGATACAAGTTCATTATCATCACAGGATCTCTCAACTCCAAGAATCAGCATGCTCTTTATAAAAAGAGTCAGCTGTTTTGCTTCTTTCTCATCTTCTACACTTAACGAATGGCTCTTTCTATCCAGGGTTCAAACTGCGTCAAGCTAGAGATCATTTTGGATTTGGTCTCGCTTCTGGTTATCAGGGGCAGCGCTGACCCATCAAGCTGTCATGTAACATACAGAGTAAAACTGTTACTTACCCACAACACTACACAGACTTTCAGTTAAATAAGAAAAGTGTAATTTTTCCCCCAATACCTTAAGTATACTGGAGCCCTGGTGTCGCAGTGGTTAAGAGCTAGGGCTGCTAACCAAAAAGGTGGCAGTTCGAATCCACCAGCCGCTCCTTGGAAACCTTATGGGGCAGTTCTACTCTGTCCTATAGGGTCACTATGAGTCAGGTGGCAACGGATGACTCAATGGCAACAGGTTTTAAGTATAATAGATCTAGGAATGGAAGCTAATGCTTCTTTCACCTTAAGGCCTTTTGTGAACAGCCCCAAATCCTGGGGGAACAAGGGTAAGGAATAATTACAGTAATTAATAATTACTTTCTTAGCACTTTCTATATACCAAGCACTGTTCTAAGCACTTTACATGTATAATACCAACTCATTTAATCTTTACAATCGCCCCTATAGCTCTGTTCTATTATTATCGTTACTTCTCATTTTAGAAATGAGGAAACTGGGAAACAGAAAATTAAGTAACTTGTCCTAAGACTCATAGCAAGTAAGTGGGAAGGCTGGGGAATTTATTCTGTACAAATACAACTTAGCTGCATGCAACAGCAACCAAAGAAAAAGGAGAGCTGCTCTGCCCGATAAAAAGCCATCTTGTATATCTTTTTTAATACAAGATCAAATCCATGTTCCACCTAGAAACACCAGAATGTCCCATCCCACCTTCCCTTTGCCAACTACCACGCCCTACCACCCACCTCGTTTTAGTTGCAGGTTCTTCTGATATATCACAGGAACGAAACCAAGGAGTTAATTAACCTTGAGCAAATAAACTCGATTTTTCTGGCCTGGTAGCTAGTGGGTAAAGAACCTGATCTGGCTTCCCGGGCAGCCGGGATTCATAATAACTGCCACAAGACACCCAACAGAAAGGTCGGGCATCAGGGTTACCTTGTACCGAAGCGCTTGATGAATATCGGCAGCCAGCTGTCCTCGCCACCACTGCTTCTCCAGCTCCATGGGCTCAGGCGGCGCGCCGAACCAGACGCGACTGTTTCAGTCTGGAAGGCACACCCAGACGAGGTCACTGCCAGCTTCTACCACCACGACCTCCGTGCCCACTCCCCGAGGGGTGTGACTTCAGGCCACCCTGGGGGCTGTTTCTTCATCCTCACCTGACTCATCCGAAAACCAGCACAGATCCAAACCAATTTCCTAACCCACACGAAGGCCTGGTCTACCCCCTAAGGAGGAGCGGGTTTATTTTGAGAACTACCGCACTGGGTGTTGGGCAAAAGGGGGGCAACTCGCTCCGAGTTCCCAAGGCGCGGACCTGGGTGCATGCTCGGGAAAGCTGGAGGGCTTCGTGCATCCCGCGTCCTAGGTTCGAACTCCCCCGTCGGCCCTGAGGGAATGGGGAGACTTGACACTAGTCACAGCCCCTCCGAGGTGAAAAGTCCCCATTAAGAAAACTAGCAGCGAACGTCGCCTGGCGCCGGGTCCCCGCGGCAGACGGCTAGGCGCCCGCTCCTCCCGGGGAACCTCCCCGCGGCCCGGTTGGGCCCAGCGCGCACCGAGACCGCCGCCTCCTCTTCCTGAGGAAAGCTCAGACTCGCGCGGCCCCAGAAGGCGAACAAAAGGCCGGGATGGCCAGGCTCCGCGCCTCGCCCCGAGCGGGTGCGGTACCCGCGCCCAGCCCCGGCCGGTCCGTTCCCACGGCGGCCTCCCTTACCCGGAACCGCGGCCCTCACAGACCCAGCCCCACTGGCGTGTCAGGAGCGCCGGCCCCGCGCATGCTGCGGACAGTCGGCCGCGAAGCGCCGGCCTCAGCTCGGGCCCAGAGCCGGGGCTCTCGAGCCGCCCATTGTTAAAGGACCAGCAGGCAGCTCCGCGTACAAAGCCAACGCGGGGGCACATGCGGCCCGGCCGCTGCCAATCTCGTCTCGCGATACAGCGGGGTCACCCCGAGCCGTCCAATCGGCGGTCGGGTCCGGTCCAGGTGCAGCGCCCGACGGCGGCTCGGGGGCCCCAGCCTGGTCCCCGACCGCATCTCTGAGCCCACCCCGGCCAGCCCAGCTCTTCGGGTTGCCAGAGACCCCCGACACCACCTACCGCGAGGCCGGTCGGAGGGCGGGCTGGGATTGGAAGAGTCCCGGGGAAATTATAACGTTAATCATTCCGGTGGTCAATCCAGTCATGCCACTCACCTGCTGAGAACCTTCGATGGCTCCCCGGTGCCCGAGGAAGAAAATTCCAACGCCTCGGCTTCACATTTAAAATCCTTCACAGCATGAATCCGATCTGCCTTATCTTGCATTGCAACAGCCCCTTACACCCTTGGGCTGCTCGGTGGGATTGTCAGTTCTTCCAAACGTGCTTTTGCCCCATCCGTATCCGCAGCCCCTAAAGCGCTTTCTCTGGAAAGTCTACCTCAAAACCCACTCCTTCTAGAAACCCAATTGATCTCTCCCCCCTCCTTACTTCCTTTGCTTTAGAGATCTCCAAAAGCTCTGAATGTAGGGAATTAAGGTACTTTTAGTAATCTAGCCTATCAGATCCACAGTGGATGTAATTAACCATCTGTGGTAGTAAATCAGAGGTCCCTGGGTGGCGCAAGTGGTTTGTGATCCTGCTGCTAACATAAAAGATTGGCAGTTGAAACCCAACCAACGCAGCTGGAAAGTAAAGGCCTGGCGGTTTGCTTCCGTATATAAAACCAAACCAAACCCATTGCCGTGGAGTCGATTTCTACTTGTGGCGACCCTGTAAGACAGAACAGACCTGCCCGATAGGGTTTCCAAGCCTATACATCTTTTCAGGAAGCAGACTGCCACATCTTTTTCGGGCCTGCGGCACTTGGGTTTGAACCACTGGCCTTTCAGTTAGCAGTCTAGCACTTAACCACTGCACCACCAAGGCTCCTTTTCACCTATAGACAATGCTTAAGCCTAGGCGTGCAGGGCTGCGGGATCTAATGATAGCAAAAGGGACATTCAGGCAGAAGTTGGTGGAGTCCAGTCTAGCCCAGCATTGTCCAGGGAAAGGTTAACCTGGGGAAAGGCCCTCAGTTGCAGGAGTTCCCTAGAGAGGAGATGGACACAACAGGCTAAAAGTTCAGTACCATTTATAACAACATTTGAATAGTACCTACCTCCTCTGGTTCCCAATCATGTGCACTAAGCAGCTTTATGACAATAATTTAGCTTCCCAACAACTTGGATGTTGAAGGCCTATTTAAGAACCCTTTTCAGGAAAATGGGTCACAGACTATCATCATCAGTGTAATAAATGGGTTGCCTCTCATGGTTTCTACTTTGAAGACTTTATTCACTGGGACATTACTCCGAAATCATTCTCATTACTTTTTGGATTTGCCTCCAATGATGTATCATTGAGGCCTGGTGGCACAGTGGTTAAGCACTTGTCTGCTAACCAAGAGGTTGATGGTTTGAACCCACTAGCTGCTCTGAAGGAGAAGGATGTATCAGTCTGCTTCCATAAAGATTATAGCCTTGGAAACCCTATGGGGAAGTTCTACCCTCTGTCCTATAGGGTTACTATGAGGGTGTCTCAGATTAAGATTCAGATTCATTACTATTTCTTTATTAATTCCTTAGATCAAGCTGGACACAACTAGTATTTTTAATTCTTAAAAAAAAAACTTAAGTCCTTGCTCTCTTTGAGTTTATATTCTACTAGAGAGAGGAACACAATAAATGAGCAGCAACAACAACAAAACACATCACGTAGTAACAAGTGCTATGAAGAAAAGAAACAGAAAAGGGGATAGAACAAAGGGCAGCCATTGTTTTCTGTAGGATGGTCAGGGACAGCCTCTCGGATACATTGAGGTTGTTAAAAGGCCTGAGGGAAGTGAGGGAGCATTCAGGTATCTGGGGCCTGATCGTTCTAGGCAGAGGCAACAGCAAATGCAAAGGTTCTAAGGAGAAGACAGGTTTGGAATGAACAGGAAGGCAAGTGTATGGCCAGATGGAAGTGAAGACAGGAAAGACATTCCAGGTGAAGGGAGCAGTGATCAGCAAAGGATGAAAGTAAAAATGGCAGAAAATCTGGATAATGAGCACAGTATGGTCAAATTTGCTGCAAAAGACCCTGTTAAAGTACTGAAAAGCAAAGATATCATTTGAGGACTAAGGTGGGCCCGACCCAAGCCATGGTATTTTTAATTCCTTCATACACATGTGAAAGCTGGACAATGAATTAGGAAGACTGAAGAAGAATTACTGCCTTTGAATTATGGTGTTGGCGAGGAATATTGAATATACTATGGACTGCCAGAAGAATGAGCAAGTCTGTCTTGAAAGAAGAACAGCCAGAATGCTCTTTGGAAGTGAAGATGGCGAGTATTCATCTTACATTACTTTGGACATGTTATCAGGAGGGACCAGACCCTGGAGAAGGATATCACACTTGGTAAGGCAGAGGGTCAGTGAAAAAGAGGAAGACCCTCAAAGAGACAGATTGACACAGTGGCTGCAACAATGGGCTCAAACATAGCAACCATTGTGCGGATGGTGCAGGACCAGGTAGTGTTTCCTTCTGTTGTACGTGTAGTCACTATGAGTTAGAACCTACTTGAGGGCACCTAACAACAACAATGGAAGCTGCAGAGTCCAGTATGCCTGCAGCATAAGGCACAGGTGGGTTTGGCAAGAGATGAGGTTGGGACCAGATTCTTTGGAGAGCTTTTGTAACTCACTGAGCTTTAGGCAATGGAAAGCTGCTGATTTTAAAATTATTTTAATTTTTTTAAATGAATGCATGCAAAGGTAAAATATTCAAATACAAGACTGAATACAGTGACTAGCAAGACTTCTCCACCCCAGTTGTTCCCAGAGCAACATTCTTACTATTTTCTTACTATCCCTTCCAGAGATATCTAGGTATATATAGCCATGCACGTACACAGCCCCTTGCACCATTTTGTGCACAAATGGTAGCACTTTATGTGCTCTGTTCTGCACCTCAGCTTCTGTCATACAATATATTCTGGTGATCATTCCATAACATTCAGGATTCCTTTCAATGGCTGCATCATATTCCACTGAATGCAATGGCCTGGGAGCCAGAAGGCCTGGGCTCTCGTTCTTGGTTCTTGCTTTGTTGCTTCCTACTGGAATGGCCTTTGGCAGGTCATTTCCCTCTTCTGGAACTCAGGTTCATTATCTATAAAATGAACTAGATGATGACTGAGATTGCTTTTGACTTTAACATTTTAGCTTCCTTGATGTTGCAACACACATGTTGTAAAGTCTTCTGTAGGGAAAGAAGCCCAAACACTCCCCATAAATCTCTACTCATTATCAGGTAATCTCAAGCTGGTCGAAGACTCACATTGCTGCAAATAAATGAGATCCAGCCCGTGCAGGGGACATTTGGGGATGGGATAAAGGCTGGGAGATTCCTCCTTTCTCTTGCTATGGGAGTGACCATGGGAGAAGTGAATTTTCTTTCTCTTTCCTTGACCTCATATAAAACTGCTCTGGTCAACTTTTGCTAATATTTATCCCTTTATTATTTTGTAGATTGTGTGTTATGAAACATTTAAGTGAATGTACAAATACTTTTCATAATGAAGCCCAGAACAGTCAAATACAAGAAAGTACAGTGCTTCCTACTTAGATCCCTGTCCACCTTTCTTAAGGGATTCCCAGGATCTAGATGGCCCTCCTTGGGGCTACCACTGTGAAAGAAAAGTGCCAGAGGCAGAGTGGGAAGCTGATCACTAAGGAGAAAGAAGGAGCCATGAGGTTTGGTGAGACCATTTCCTCCCTTCCTCGCAGAATCAAGAGAGCAGATTATATTAGATACAGTTTCCTGGTTCAAGTCTCTTCCAAATACTCACAGCAGCTGCAGTAACCTAAGTGCAAATTTTTTAGAAGCCCCCAGAAGCCCACCCCAGCCCTCAGCCCAAAATGGTAGACTTTTCTTTTTTTCTTTCCCCATAAAATAACATTTTATCTTATGAAAGGCAATGGCCTTTGGTTTCCATGTAAGTATCTTCTACCTGGTACTGCATCAGAACCAGCATCAAATGTACCACTTTAGTAATGACATATTCTACAAGGCAAGGATCTTAACAGTGCATCAGAGTTATTTGGTGGGCTTACTAAAAACAATGCAGCTTCTGGAGCTCCACCTCAGTGATTCAGATTCGGTATGTCTTGGGTGACATCTGAATTTTCAACGAGGCTCTCCAGGTGATTCTGATGAGGGCAGTGTGAGGCCCACAATTTGAGAAACACTGATCTTAGGGGGAGAGGCCAGAATTGCTTCTTTCCCAGAATAAGACATACTGTAGAAAGTGACCTAAGGCAGCCAGACTGGCCGAGGGTCCTCCTTGAGGACATCTCTGGTGAGGAGGTCATCTAGACTCATCCTCAAAGATCAGCGTGAGTCTCCACAGTGCACAACTCTGTAAGTGGACTGACAACTGGGCTCAGCACTTGGCTGGACTTGAGGACAAGCAGCAAAATCCCAAAGTACCAGCAAAGTGTTGGCTGCTTCTGGTCTGGGGACCCAAGGTACAATCCTTTCCTCTTGCCTTCTTTCTTCACTGATGTCGGGCTAAGGAAGCCAAATAGACCCATACAGATAACACGTTGTTTGGGTATGGGTGAATGTATACAGCTAGAGCAAATTCTGTCTGTGGAAATTCAGAAGAGTGAATTCCAGTGTGATACACGGCATCAACAACTGACTGGACATCAGTGTATGGCATCTGGATGGGAAATCCTGTGACCTGGAGCAAAGACAGAACAACACACAAACCCACATGATAATCATGAAGGTGATCTGGAATTACTGCATGTAAGAAGATCAAAGCAACCTCAAAGAAATGGTAATCATGAAGTAATAATAGTTAACATTTTGTGAGTGCTTACTATATTCTAGGTACCGTGCTAAATGCTTCACAGACATAGTTAATCCTCAAACAACCCTATGAAGTAGGTTCTATTATATCCCTGCTTTGAATAGAGAGAGGCAGATCCAGGTCTGTCCAATGCCAGAGCCTGCACACTTATTCCATATACTTGCACTCTTTCTAGAATAGCAAGCTACATACAAGGAAATTACTTTTTCCTAAAAATGAGGGATTTAAGTGAGAAATTTGGAAGAATTTATTCAATTTTGATTCAACTTATATTTATCAAGCAACTACTAGCCACTCTGTGGAAGAAAGCTGTGGCAGTCTGCTTCTGTAAAGATTTACATGCTTGGAAACCCTATGGAGCAGTTCTACTCTGTCCTATGGGGTCGCTATGAGTCAGAATGACTCAACAACAATGTTTTTTTTTGTTTGTTTGTTTGTTTACTATATGATAGGATTAAAGAATTGTGGAATATGGTCCCATGTCAAATTATCTGACTATTTAATAATGCATACTTGACAATCATAATCTCTTTCAAGCCTCAGATTACTTATTTCAGGAAGCTTTTCCTGACCCTTAAATTTGTTCACATTCACGTGTTCTCACCATGTAGTTTCAAAGTACGCTGTCCTTCCCCTAGCAAATACTTACTTATAAAACTATATTGCAATTACCTGTCTTGTGGTCTAAATAGCCCATAATCTCAGTGAATGCAAGGAATTGTATCTGTCTTGTTCACTGTAATAACCCAGTGCCTAGTGCAATGCCCAGCACATAGAATAATAATAATGTTATTGTTGTTAGGTGCTGTCGAGTCGATTCCGACTCATACCGACCTTATGTACAACAGAACGAAACATTGCCAGGTCTTGGGCCATCCTTATAATCCTTCTTATGCCTGAGCACATTGCTGCAGCCACCGTGTCAATCCATCTCATTGAGGGTCTTCCTCTTTATCACTGACCCCTGTGCTTTACCAAGCATGATGTCCTTCTCCAGGGACTGATCCCTCTTGATAACATGTCCAACCTATGTGAGACGTAGTCTTGCCATCCTTGCTTCTAAGGAGCATTCTGGTTGTATTTCTTCAAAGACAGATTTGTTTGTTCTTTTGGCAGTCCATGGTGTATTCGATATTCTTTGCCAAAACCATAATTCAAAGGCGTCAATTCTTCTTCAGTCTTCCTTATTCACTGTCCAGCTTTCACATGCGTATGAGGCGATTGAAAACACCATGGCTTGGGTGAGGCGCATCTTAGTCTTCAAAGTGACATCTTTGCTTTTTAACATTTTGAAGAAGTCTTTTGCAGCAAATTTGCCCAATGCAATAATAGTAATAGTTAAAATTTATTAAGCACTTACTAGCTGCTGGATATTATTCTAAGTATTAACTTAGTTAATCCTCACCACGGTGTCAAAACAGATAACTATTTTTATCCTTGTTTACAGATGGGGTAGAAGGTATAGAGATATTAGGTAATTCGTCCTAGGTGAAAACTAGTAAGCGTTGTCAGGATTTGAACGCAGACTGCAAGGTTAAGTCCAGGTTTATGACAGTCAACTGTGTATAATTAAATAGATAAGTTTACATAGAAGCTACAAGTTTTAAAACTTAGCTTATATTTAACTATGCTTTGCTTATCTGTTTACCCTCTAATTCTACTAAAAATAAAATAAAACAAAAACAAAATAACTTCCTTCCTATTCATGAAGACTAGTGCCTGAAGATCCCTCCCTGGGGGGCCTAAGGACTGATATCTGCAGTCTCTCAACTCCCAGCAAATCCTTACTTCCTTCTCTCAGGAGGTTTCCTTAGGAGACAACTTCTGTCCAGTCTATTGGCTGGTAGGGAAAGGAATCTTACTCTTGAAGGCTGGGGCTTCACAGGGAGGAAGAAAAGGTAAGGATGACCACAGTTAGGGTTAGGGTAGAGGAAGGAAAGCAGGACTCTAACAATATACTAGATGCCTACCATGTGTGGTTATGGACTGTTGAGTTTGAGTTGTCTTTTAACCATCCAAGAAGATGTCAAATGGGCAGGTGAATTTATAAGATTGGAGGTCAGGAGAGAGGACCAGCCTGGATGTGTAAAAATTTGTGAGTAATTATCACAGAGAACATATTAAAGCTTGCTTGGAGTCCTCTTGCCCAGAACCAAGGACAGCGAATCCACTCTATTACTACTATCTAGAGACCATTTTTTGGTTTCTTAGTTGCAGGGTGGTTTCCTCTGGGCATCTCTTTCCAAAGTTTGTAGTTCACCCATCACAAAATATATGATTGGTTCTAAGAAAATGCCACGCAATGTGGTCCTTGAAACAGTTGTTCACTACATTTAAAATTCCTTGGTCCATAAGTAAATACATTTTAATACCATAGCGTCTATTTTCTAGGATCAGATAAAAGGCATTTTAGAGACATTTAAGATTGCTATTAGACAGTAATCAACAATACAGATAAAACAAATGTCATCAGTGCAAACCCAATCATATACAAACCCAATAAAATTGTAGCAGTCTTTCAAATTCACTCTCTTCTTCAGATGAAACAAAGCTTCCTGTTCCAAGTTCCAGCTTAGGAAGGATTTGTCGCAAAATAGAAGTACATTGTCGATTCCAACGTGTTGGCTGTTTAGGTCGCCATTCCATCATTTTACATTTTAGAGTCCTTTCAATCCTGGAGTAAGAATGCAAAGGTTATTTTTGACAAATTACAACTCATTTAAAAATGTAATAAGAGCTTTGTGACTTTTATTCAAGCATAAGAATGATACCTTTTGGATTTAGGAAGAAACCAGACCTCTATAGTTAGGACAGTCTGCCATCATGTGCATTCATGTATTTTTAAGAAGTTCCAGAAGCAATGCTGATGAAAACTAGAAATTGACAATTGTTTTCCTATTGCATTTCTTCCTTTTTTGTTAAGAACTGGGGAAGCAGGAGGGGACAGGAAAGTGAGAGTGGCAGGGGGCAGGGGCTGCAATTTGTGTGCTAGTGAGAGAAGGGAGTGGAAAAATGATTTTTGTTATGCTCTGCTTTGATTAGTTGTTAGGGGCTCAAATGCCAGCCGACTGTGTAAGTGTGAGTCACAGGAGGCAGCCATATCTAGGAGACTCTGACATATATGTAGTAGCGGTGAGGCCTGCTGTAACACTTTGGACTTGACTGAACAATTCATTAGGGCACATCTGTGTGTGTGTGTGTGTGTGTGTGTGTGTGTGTGTGTTTGTATATGTTTGGGGTGAGGTGGCCCAGGAGTAGCTGCATTGATGTTTCTACCACACAACTTTTTTTTTTTTTAACCATACCCTGAGTCATGAGCCATTTACTGTTATATCCTTTCAAAAAATGTTAACTACTGCATCATTATTACTACAGGCGTGTGTTGAAAACTTTCCTATAGTGGCCCACAATGTTTTCCAGAAGCAAGCATTTTTAACTTACACTGTCCTTCCAAGGAGAGCACTGATGCAGAGGGGCCACTATTTGGCGTATGTACCAAGAGACAGATAGATGATTCAATGGAAGTAATTATTGTAGTTCCCTTTGCATGCTCTTGTTGCTGAATCTAACAGGTATGCTTAAAGGCTGAAGGAGAGATTAGGGGGATAATATGGTGACTGTAACATATAAATAAAGATCATACCTGTTCTTTATGTCTTCTACCATGCTTTTATTAGTATCTGAATAAATTATTTCTTTAGGCTGAAACACAGAAAACTGAAATTTAGGGAAGATTCTAGGGAGACTGTCTTTATACTACGTTCACCCCTGGCATGCTAGTTATAATGAGGAGAAACCCAAACCAGGCTCACGTGGCAAAAACACTCAATCACATAAGTAAAACATAGATCACAATGTTTCTTTTGACTTCAGTACTCCTTAACCAGGGCACAGGAGGTGGGGTGGATTTATGAAAGAAGATGTTTCCAGCTAAGACAATTTGCTGCCTTGATTTAATCAAACAAGCATTTGCCGTATTTATTGATTCCACCAGATAATCTTGACAGCAGTACTACTTACTAAATGTGTGACCTAGGCTAAGTTACTTAACCTCTCTGAGTCTCAGTTACCTTATAATAGGGGCAATAATAGTGCCTACTTCACTGGGGTCTTGTGAAGATTTTGAAATAAAGTAATACACATAAAGCCTGGCACATAGTGAATGTTCAGTAAACATTATTACTCTTCCTACATGGTTTATCATCCCCTTTGATTGAGTATTCCATTTCTTTTCGCTGGCAGGATCCAGGTTTTTGTGTTTATGTGCACGTGTACATTTTTTACTGTGGTATAGAGGATTTCATTGTATGATTACTCCACAACTCATGAACTGTTTCCAATGTTTTCCAATTTTAAGCAATTCTATAATGAACACTGTTGTACTCGTCTCCCTGTGCGTGTGTGGATAAATTCCTCTAAGGTATATATTTACAAGATGAATTGGTGGATCAAAGTTTTAGCATCACCAATTTTACCAAATACTGTCATATTGCTTTCCGAAGTGTTTACAGCAATTTACGCTCTCCATCATTTCACTTCATCTTTGCAAACACTTCGTATGAGGCACACTTTTTTGTTTTTCTGCTAATCTTATGCATGATGAATAGTGTCTTATTGTTTTAAATCGTATTTCCCTGTTTGAGTGAGGTTGAACATTTGAGTTTCTGCTTCTACGAGTTGCCTTTTGCTGATCTTTCTGTTGCTCCTTGTCTCTCTCTCATACGTCCTCTCTCTCTCCTTCTGGTCTCACAGCACCTAGTTTATGCGTTTTGCAATTGCCTTCACCCTGGCATCCCAGGGCCCTCAATCCAGAAACAGCTGTTGCAATAGTACTTGAGGCACCTTCTCAAGGTGGCACTGAGTCCCTCACAGCTCCACTAGCCCAGCCATCTGGTGATTTAATCAGTTCCTGGTCTCAGACCTGTGCTTTCACCTCCTGCCTCCCAAGCAGTGAGTCTCCAGGCAGTGAGTACCCAGTTTTTTCTCCCTAGTCCTAGCTTCAAAAAGTGGTTCCCTGCCTTTCACAAAGCATTTTCAGACTTTTCTGACACCACTGCATCAGCCCCACTCACTGCTAGTGTTATTCCATGAGACAACTATCATGGCTTGTGGACCCAGATAACTCTTTTTGTTTTTGAATTTTTATACTTTATCATTGCCATGGATACGGAACCGAAGGGCTAAGTCAAAGTAAAAACTTACTATACCATCTTGAACATTTCGTTTTACCTTTTAAGATTAAATTTTTTAAAATTCAATTTTAAAATCTAAATTTACATTTGAGATGACAGCTTCTTCTTCATTCCTCTTTTCTGCAGGTAGAGGAAAGTGACCAGATTAGCCCAAACATGGGCCAGATGGCAGAAAAAACTAGTTTTTTATTAACGTTTGCCAAAGAATTCAATAATCGGCTATATAAACATAACAAGGGCTGTCCACACTAATAAAGACTAGCACCAATAGCAACTCTCATTCAGACACACTTTTGGAAAATATGATTTACCTGTATGCTTTGTGCTTTTCTTCCTTGAAAATTTTTTGGAAGCATCTGTTTCCAGAAACTTTCCTTTGAATAGTCAAAATGTACAGCCATTGGTGTATTATTTTGTTGAATATTAAACCATACCTATTAAAACATTAACATACAATCAGTGTAGGTCCATGGGAGCACAAAGCTCATGGCTCGTAAGGATGAAGCAAAATTTTACAGTCCTACTATCCAATGAAGGAGCCCTGATGGTGCAATGGTTAGGCTCTTGGCTGCTAACCAAAAGGTTGGTGGTTCACAGGAGAAAAGACCTGGAGATGTGCTCCTGTAAAGAGTACAGCCTAGAAAACCCTATGGGGCAGTTCTACTCTGTGTTTTTATGAATAAAAAATTGATCAACGGCAGCTGACACCAACACTACCCAACGATGTGGCAGAAACCAAGGAAGGCTCTGAGGCAGGAGGTAAAGAGATTCCAGGCTTACCTGAACATTAGACTGCCTACCAGTTCTCAGTTCTAGACATACTACAGAATCACCTTGGGAGCATTAGAGATAAAAGATTGCTGAGGCCCCACACCCCAGAGATTCTGATTTTTTTCAAAGCTGTCTGGATGCTTCTAATGTGTAGCCAGGGTGGAAACTGCTGGTTTGACTCTTGAGGAGATAAAGTAAGATTTGTTCCTGTATACTTACATTTCCATCATCAAACAAACAGTCTACGCCTTGTAAGGGACAAAATGGGTCAAACTGCTTATGACACTGCCCAGTCAATGGATTCCAAAGCAAATATTCATCAGTTTCCTGAGTTAACACATAAGCCACATGTCCCTGTATGATGAAAGAAGTTAAAGTCATTTTTGGCGGGTGATTGATTTAACTCATTTCTGTATGTTGTTATTCTTCTGGACATATCTCTTGTAGTGTACACTTTTCTCAGTAAAGAATAAAAAATTCAGGTAATAATAAGACTAACATTTATTGAGTAGCTGTATATACCAGGGACTGTGCTAAACATTCATACTAATTTTCTCACTTAATTCACTCCAAATTCTGTGAGTTAGGGGTGATTATTATGCTCATTTTTAGATGAAGAATCAGAGGCTAAGGAGCTTGTCCAGGATAACAGTTATTCCTGTTTTTCGAGTAGATAACTGACACTCAAAACCAAAGACCAAACCTGTTGCCGTCGAGTCGATTCCGACTCATAGTGACCCCATACGACAGAGTAGAACTGCCCTGTACAGTTTCCAAGGAGAGCCTGGTGGATTCAAACTGCCGACCTTTTGGTCAGCAGCCATAGCACTTAACCACTATCCCACTAGGGTTTCCAAATATAAACAGCTGAGATCAAAGTAGTGCTGGGTTTTGAACTCTTGTCTGACTGACCCCAAACTCATATTCTTAACACTGTGCTGTGTAGCCTGGTCTACCTAACTCCAAAGCTCTTGCTCTTTATCATTGTGCTGGTCATTTTTTACAATAAAGAAGAGGGCTTCACCTCAATCATATTGCTATTGGAAGGTGCCTATTGGTTCGTTCTGACTCATAGTGACCCTACATACAACAGAACGAAACACTGCCCGGTCTTGTGTAATCCTCACAGTTGTTGCTATGTTTGAGTCCATCATTGCAGCCACTGTGTCAGTCCATCTCACTTCCTCTCTTTCGCTGACCCTCTACTTTACCAAGCATGATGTCCTTCTCCAGGACTGGTCTCTCCTGATAACATATCCAAAGTACATGAAAGATGTCTTGCCATTCATGCTTCTAAGGAGCATTCTGGCTGTACTTCTTCCAAGACAGATTTGTTCATTCTTCTGGTACTCCACGTATATTTGATATTCTTCGCCAATGCCATAATTCAAATGTATCATTTCTTCTTTGGCCTTCCTTAGTGATTGTCCAGCTTTCGCACGCATATAAGGTGATGAAAACACCATGGTCTGGGTCAGGCGTAACTTAGTACTCAATGTGATAGCTTTGCTTTTTAACACTTTAAGGAGATCTTTTGGAACACATATGCCCAATGCAATCTGTTGTTTGATTTCTTCCACGGGCGTTGACTGTGGATCCAAGTAAAATGAAATCCTTGTTAACTTCAATCTTTTCTCCATTTATCATGATGTTGGTATTAGTCCAGTAGTAAGAATTTTTGTTTTCTTTATGTTGAGATGTAATCCATACTGAAGACTGTAGTCTTTGATCTTCATCAGTAAATGCTTCAAGTCCTCTTCACTCTCAGCAAGCAAGGTTGTGTCATCTGCATACTGAAGGTTGTTAATGAGTCTTCCTCTAATACTGATGCTGAGTTCTTCTTCATATATTCCAGCTTTTCAGATTATTTGCTCAGTGTACAGATTGGATAAGTATAGTGAAAGGATACAACCCTGACAGACACCTTTCCTGATTTTAAACCACACAGTATCCCCTTGTTCTGTTCGAATGACTCCCTCTTGGTCTATGCATAGGTTGTACATGAGCACAATTAAGTGTTCTGGAGTTCCCATTCTTCACAATGTTATCCATAATTTGTTTTGATACACATAGTCGAATGCTTTTGCACACGTAGTCAATAAAACACAGGTAAACGTCTTTCTGGTATTATCTGCTTTCAGCCAAGATCCATCTGACATCAGCAATGATATCCTTCCTTCCACTTCCTCTTCTGAATCTGGCTTGAATTTCTGGCAGTTTCCTGTCAATGTCCTGCTGCAACCATTTCCGAATTATCTTCAGCAAAAATTTACTTGTGTGTGATATTAATGATATTGTTCAATAATTTCCACATTCTGTTGGATCACCTTTCTTTGGAATGGACACAAATATGGATCTCTTCCAGCTCTTGAGCATAAAGTAGCTAAAGAGAATGGAAGAAATGATGAAGTAAAAGAGCTGAACAGAAGATTTCAAAGGGCAGTTTGAGAAAACAAAGCAAAGTATTATAATGAAATGTGCAAAGACCTGGAGTTAGAAAACCAAAAGGGAAGAACACACTAGGCATTTCTCAAGCTGAAAGAAATGAAGAAAAAAATTCAAGCCTCGAGTTGCAATACTAAAGGATTCTATGGGCAAAAATACTGAACGATGCAGGAAGCATCAAAAGAAGATGGAAGGAATACACAGAGTCACTGTACCAAAAAGAATTGGTCAATGTTCAACTGTTTCAGGGGGTAGCATTTGATCAAGAAATGATGATACTGAAGGAAGAAGTCCAAGCTGCACTGAAGGCACTGGTGAAAAACAAGGCTCCAGGAATTGACAGAGTATCAACTGAGGTGTTTCAACAAACAGATGTAACGCTGGAAGCACTCCTCATCTATGCCAAGAAATTTGGAAGACAGCTACCTGGCCAACCAACTGGACGAGATCCATATTTGTCCCCATTCCAAAGAAAGGTGATCCAGCAGGATCAACCATGTAGCTGAGGTGAAACCATACAAGTCTGCCTCCCAAGGTGTTGGCTCACAGGTACAAATGCAAACATGTTGGCTGTTTACTGCCATCTAGTGGCACTTACGGCAAAGGATACTGAATATACTGTGGACTGCCAGAAAAACAAATCTGGCTAGGAAGGACAGCCAGAATGCTCATTAGGAGCGAGGATGGCAAGACTTTGTCTCACATACTTTGGACATGTTATCAGGAGGGACCAATTCCTGGCAAAGGACTTCATGCTTGACAGGGCAGAAGGTCAGCAAAAAAGAGAAAGACCCTCAACGATTGACACAGTGGCTGCAACAGTGGGCTCAAGCATAACAATGATCGTGAGGATTGCACAGGACCAGGCAGTGTATTGTTTTGTTGCACATAGGGTCGCTATGAGTTGGAACCAACTCGACAGCACCTAACAACAACAGTGGCACTTAAAACTACAGCCAGATCGTATGCAACATTAACCAGAGGTTTTTAGTTAACAAAACTGACACAGAAAAAATAAGATACACTGAGGAAATATGGGTAAACAAATGACCATGACAAAAATTATAAGGAAAGACTTGGAATGTTAGCACTTATCAAGATATTCGTGAGAGATCCAAAAACAGTCCATAAGAAGACAGCTTTCTGGAGGTATGAAGGCTGGTGTAGTAAAGAAATGTAGTCATAAAAATTTTAGATAGTAAACGTGAATTTCTGGCCCACTTCTTGGAAAATTAAAAACTGGCTCAACGGAGAATGGTATGAGGCATTTCTTAAAGATCTGAAAATACAGTAGTAGAAGCATATAATGATGATCACAACAACCAGCTACCATTACAGCGTTACTATGATAACCTCTACCATCACCACCATTGAGTATTTGCCGTAAGCCAGGTGATGTTCAGTGCCTTATACATGCTATGTAATCGAATATTCCCAGTAACCCAATGAGGTTACACTATTACTAATACTATTTTACAAAGGAGAAAAACAAAAAAGTCATTCTTTACACTGCAGAAATTTTGATGAACCCACATAATTCCAATGTTAGCTAATAATTTTTTGCCCATGAAATTTCCTAACTAGGTTGTAAAAAGATGGAAACTTGGGTTTGAAGTCTTTTAAACTTGCAGCTGAAATCTGAATTTAGTTTTATTTACACTGTTTAAATATTAACTCCAGTACTTACTTCCAACATTGAGGTTCCCAGGAGGACCAAGGCTTTCTTTCCAAAATACAAAAAGAAATTACAGAGAAGTATGGCATGTTCTTCCTTATTTCCAATAGCCAAACTGATGCAGTGCTAAGACAAAAAAAAAGAAAAAGAAAAAAAGCAACAACGACCAAAAAAGGATGAGGGGCAAGTTGAGTAAAGCAGGCATCCAACAGACTTGGAGCCCATCTACTCCCTCCAGCTTCAAACACTCTTACTTTCACCAGCTTGCTGAGATGACAGCAAAGCCAAGAACTCTGGCTCCTTTTGCCTGGTAAACCACTAGGGCATTAGAAGAAGAAAACATTAGCTTGGAATAGTGGGGTCACCTGTATTATGGAACACTTAATGTGAATATTGTGTAGAGTGCCAGATAGATAATTTATTGTCCAAAATGGGACATTTTTGTTTAGGACAAATCTTAAACTAATCTGGGCAAACAGTGACATATGGACTGGTATTTTGAGGAACTTTGTCTGGTAGGAAATCACATATTTTGGAGAAGGTGATCTTTTGGTCAATGGAGTTATACTCTGCTCTGTACCAGTATAGTGCTCTTAACACAAAGAGAGAACGAGATATGAGTTAGAGTCCAATCAGGAAGATTGAAACTTCAACTGAAGCAGCTGAACAGCAGATGTGGGTATAATAGATCAAATATAGGGCGCTTTGTAAAGCAGTAAGGTTGCTGAGTGACCCAAATGGTTTGCTCTTAGCTACTAACCTAAAGGTTGGCAGTTTGAGCCCACCCAGTAGTGCCACAGAAGAAAGGCCTGGTGATCTGCTTCTGTGAAGATTACAGTCAAGAAAACCCTATCGAGCAGTGTTTTACTCTGTAACACATGGGGTCGCCATGAGTGGGAATTGATTCCGCAGCAATGGGTTTAGTTTTTTGGTGGTAGCAGGAGAGAAAAAGCACAGCAGAGTGGAAGAACTAGGTCTATGACCTAGTTCTAGTCTATAGGTGTGTTTTGTTTGGCCCCAGAATGTTAAAAAAAAAAAAAAATTTTTTTTTTTTAAATTTCACATAAAAATCTGGATTTCTCACTTCATTTGAAAAATCAAAACGTCTGTCAATATACAAGGATCCAAATGTTGATATGGCAACAATCTTGTTGCTGAGTAGCAGCTGCACCATTTATTAGGACATGTGCTCGCCATTTCCTTTTAGTCCCAGACAAGGGGCTGTGGTAGGCAGAGAGATGGGGGTACGGGTCTTGGAAGCTCTTGGCAGTGACTATTTACCGATCAGTATGGAAGCATTTCAATGTTTTAACAACTGATAGGCCATAAAAGTATGCGCTGGCTGAATGTGACAGTGAGGGATGGGAGTTAGGAGGGTGGTAAGGAGGCCCTTCTGAAAGAAAAGTGTGAACAGGAGAGCTCAGAGCAGAACATAAACAGTGTTCAACATCAAGCCAACGAGGCTCTCCTGATCTGATATCATAAGAGAGGGAGGAAGGTTGGTGAGAGTGCATAACTAACTTTTCCTGAGTTCCAGGTACTTTGCATATGTTATCTCATTTATTCCCTTCAAAACTCCTATATGACACAGAGGAGGACACTGAGGTTCAAAGAGATTAAATAACTTATCTTAGGTCACACAGCTATTAAGTGCTTGAACTGGGATTTGAACCCAGGTTTGTTTGACTCCAAAACCCATGTTCTTTCCACTATATACTACACTGCTCCCCTCCCCTTCACAGTTTGGTAGGATAGAAATTTGAGCAGAACATTAGGAAATGTGGTTAGGGCCTCTACCATTTTCTCTGCCTATTCATTCTGCTTTAATATATGGGGACAATTTACCAAGAAATTACTCAAACCTGGAATTGGCTAACAACTTTGGAAAGGAGATACTTTTAAAATATGATATATTTTCAATTGCTACCAATAAGAATATATATTAAAATATATTTTAAGAAATAATGTTTATTTTACTGTGTTTCAAGTACCCTAACTTTAATATCATTTAAAAATATGTGGAAAACTCATGATTGAATGGAAAGTGACATCTGAATCTCAAATAAACTATAATTATTATTAGACTACATGACCAAAGTTCTACTGTCTCCTGGTGACACTTCATCTAAATTGCAGGTTCAGAGTTGGTGAAGAACCAGTAGATTTTTTTTTCAAAATGTTAAGTATGCTAAACTAATTAAGTCAGTGGAAGGGATAGTCATTTCAAAGAGGTGGAAAAGTACTTACAGTGATGAATGCTTCAAAAGGATTTTTAGAGTAGGGTGGAAGGGTAGTTCTGGTGACTATTATTTAGTGGGAGAAAATAATGTTTGTTTTGTGACAATCTAATCAGTTATATACCCAGGGGCGTCCCATCACCAAAAAGTTCATGTCAGTGGGAAAGCATTAGTCAAAAGGAATCCCAAGCCTGTAGTAACCTTTTAGTTATGGATGTTAATTGTGAATATTGGGATGGGAGGATTTGAGGTACCAGTGTATGTACGAATGGTTATTTTTAGCTCAGCCTCTTGCAACATTCTGCAGAATTATAATGTCCCTGAACACATTCTGATTAGTTCAGAGAGTCTCAGAAGAGGCCAGAGTGAATGACACCTTTTTGAGTTCTACCAGATTTGAATCACTTGATTCTGGAACCAAATCACATTCTTGTGGCTCCCTTAGTTCCAGTTAGCAGAAGGTAGAGTAGCTGACCTATTAAGTTCAGTTTAATAGGTTAAAGTTAGCCCCAAACCAAAACCAAACCCGTTGCTGCGGAGTCAACCCCAACTCATAGTGACCCCATAGGGTTTCCAAGGCTGTAAATCTCTATGGAAGCAGACTGCCACATCTTTTCTCCCGAGGAGCAGAGGAGCGGCCGGTGGTTTCCAATAGCTGACCTTTCAGTTAGCGGTTGATCGCTTTAACCACTGTGCCACCAGGGCTCCTTAAATTTAGCCCAGAGCCCCCTTAATCTATTTCAGCTCAAACCTAGGCCCCCTAAAGCATACTAACAAACGCCAGGACTTTAAGTTCCATATGGGAAAAGTTTCTCTTTTAGGGTCCCATCATATTAGTATTTTCCAATTAAAAAATATTTATTGAATGCTTACTAAATGAAAAGCAGTGTACAGTGATGAATACAAAAATAAATAAAAATCAGGTCTGCCTCTGCTTTCTAGGAGATTACAACTGGGATGTATGTGTGGAGGGTATGGGTAGGAGAACAGGTATATAAGCAACTAAATACAATTAAATGTGGAATGGAAGAAGTACTCTAAATTTGAATTTTAAATAAACTTAAATTTGAATTTTAAATAAACAATGAGTAATTTTTTAGTAAAATTACGTTCCAAATAGTATATGGGGCCTGTATTTAACTGGCAACCTGTCTAAAACCAACCAAACCAAACCCACTGCCCTGAGTCAATTCCGACTCACAGCAACCCTATAAAGAGAACTTTAATCCAAGTGCTGAAGAGGAGCACTGCTCTATGAGATCTTCACTCAGATTGGGGGACAGTGGTCCAGGGACAGCTTCTGGGGAGTGGTGGTATGTGCCCTAGACTACAGGGTCTGACCAGCTCTACAGTGACAAGCCATCATGCCCTCTGGAGAATGTCATAATATTGTTCTTCTGGAGTTCCTGTCAAATAAAAATATTCATGCGCTACTACTTACAATGTTGAAAAGATTTTTGATCCTTAAAAAGTATTTCCATAGATTGTCATGGAACTGAAAATGATGTTTAAAACTATAAAATGCTTTAAAACTTCACAAGGCAAAATACAACATAAGTACATAATATTTTTTAAAAAGCCATCTTTAAAAGAGAAGCAAAGAAAAAACATTATAATAAAATGTAGTTGGTTACCTCTGAGGTCATCCATATATCAGAACCATCATTTTCATCCAGTGTATCAGGCATAAAAGGAATCAAAGATACAAATCGAGCAACGAGGTCCTAGAATAATATTAACTAACATTTACTGAGTGTGTCCATATGCCTGTCACTGAGCACAGTGCTTTACACGCATTATCTCATTTAGTCCATCCTACAAGCCTATGAAGTATGCACTCTTGTTGTTCTTGTTTTACAGAACAGGACACAAGCTTACAGTGCTAAAATAACTTGCCCGGGGTCACACGGCTAATACAATATATAGAGTCTCTGGGACTGAGCCCAAGTTGGCCTAAACTACAGAGGGTACAAGTTACCCATTGTATTTTATTATAATAAATTATTAAAATGTACACAAAGACTTTAAAGTATAATTGTTAAAAAATGAAAAAAAAAAAGATAGTGAAGAATAACAAGGGTTTGATTTACTTTAGGTTCAAAATCTATCAAAATTATAAGTTTGTTATAAACCGCTACAGCAGAGAGATAGTGGTACAGAATGTTTTCTCACACAATAGAAGTTATACTGCGGATCTTCCCCCCATAGGGCTGGAGAGGAAAGACTCAAGACTAAGGTAGAAAATGAGAAAGGGATAAAAATAAACAATGAGTTAACTCAGGAAGTTCATTGTGATGGTTAATTTTATGTCAGTTTGGCTAGGCTGTGATGCCCAGTTGTGTGGTCAGACACTAGCCTAGTTGCCGTTATGAAGTAGTTATATGTGATCGAATCAATTGACCTTAAGTAAAGCAGATTACTTTCCCTAATGCGGGTGGGCCTTAACCAGTCAGTTGAAGGCCTTAAGGGCAAAAAGGGAGTTTTCTCTCGGGTACAGTCTGCTTCTAGACTATAAACAGACATTTGCCAGAAGTCTTCACTTTTCCTGTCACCTGACCTATGAATTCAAAACGCCAGGAATCTCCAGTCCACTGCCTGATCTACAGATTTTGGGCTTGCCATCACCCAACAATCGAATGAGCCAATTCCTTAAAATAGATCTCTCTCTCTCTCTCATATATACAGGTAGTCCCTGACTTAGGACTCATTCCAGTTATGACAAACAGCACTTACAACCATCTCTTTTTTGTTTTTTTTTTATCTTATCGTTAGTAATATGTACTACACTGTTGCAGTGTATAATTTGCTGATGTTATCATTCTCATGCCAACCCCTCAAAACAAATAAAGATCATATTTATAAAGATACTGATAATAAAAGGCAATGATAATGAAAACTTAAAAAAAAAGAGGTAAGGTATTCGACTTACGTCAGAATCGACACACCATAAAGTCGTCAAAACAGAACCCCATCATAAGTCGGAGTCTACCTGTATATGGTTCTGTTTTTCTACAGAACCCTAAGACACTCATTAACATCTTAACTGATTTACAATAGCTGCAATTATATACACTATTACATTTTCTACACAGGTTGTACTTTCTAACTTCATGCAATTAAACATGGTTTATAATCTTTGACAAGCAAAGGAACTCAAATTTATATTTTTTAAAAAGATAAAGACAAGTTTTTAAATAAATCTGAGAGCACTATTATCTCCTTGGATATTGGGTGTCAGGAAACACAGGTAGGAAGAAACCCATGATGGAAAAGGAGAGTGCAGCAAAAGGCAATCTACATTAGGACTTCTGGTTTTAGCTTAAAGAGCACAGCTAAGAGAGATTTATAACTCACAGATAGTATAAATATTCTGAGGAGAGGCAATTGACTAGACTGAACCTGAATAAACAAAAGGTATAAGCAATTCTTCATAAATTCCCTTTAATCAAAGCTTATTTCTTAAAGGAAAGATTCAAAGTGGAAGGTGGTATATGCTCTTTTGAGAATATGAGTAAATTTTCATTTTACATTAAATTAAAATTTGAGTATGTGTCTCTTTTATCGGCTGGTAAATAGATGTACATAAAGCCATATATGGATGGGGTGGGAGGTGTTGGGTTGGCTGTTTACAGAACAAAATATAAAATATCTTCTTCACTCCTACATACAACGAGAAGCAATCCTTCAGAAGCTGTCCTCAGAAGAATGTAACACCTTTAGGAGTATAACTTTTTATCTTTCTTGGAAATCAAAGGAATTTTTGTGTCATTTTTCAATGTTTGGCAGAAAAATAGTGAAGCCAGTTTGGTCATGTGGACTGGTGTGACAATAGTAATTCTCTACTCCAAGTGGGCAGAAGTAAAGGGGATCAGGAAGAAACATTTTCTCCTACGTGGGGCTCAGGAGGACACATTGGATGGTGTCTCTCTCAGGAAAATCTCTTTGAAGGCAAAACAATTTTAGCAAAAATGTTATACTCAAAGTTATTTAAAAAAATATAAATTTAGGGTGAGAGAGTGATGGTTGCACAACTCTGAATATACTAAAAACCATTTAGATGAATGAATCGTATAATATGGGGATTATATATCAATAAAGCTATTTTAAAATAAATATAACTTACAAATGTTGCATTAGAATCATGAAGAATTATATCCAGAAGTTGTTGAGGTGGATTTAATGCTTTGATATATCTTGTTACTAAGATCTGTATCCCTTCATCATTAAAAACAGTAGTTGTGATTCTTCGGTTGGGAAACATTGCCTTACAATTTTTTTTAAAAATCTGTGCTCTCTCCAGAACATCTATTTGATCTGAAAACTAGAACCAAATTTAAGGTATTTCAACATTGTACCATATTGTTCCCACAGGAAAATATTAAGAACCAATGTTTATTTTTATTAGCTTTGAAATCATCATTACTGGTTTTAAAATAGTTGACACTTCTTTGAGGATATATATAAAAGTAATTCAATGTAAAACCTACCTTATTTGGTTCTGGATTATAGGTGATATATGATATTTGAGGTTCAATGGTAGCAAAAATATTTAAAAAGGTACATTCTTTTAAATTCTGCCCATTGTAATCCTCTTTAGGAGACACATAAGTCTTACTCCAAGTATACCCAAGCAAAATTGGTGGAATATTTACTTGAAATGTTCCACTAATCTGAAAGAATATATCAATGTAATAGATTATGCATGAGGAAAATAAACATCAGTCAAATGTACTATGAGCCCAGCTCAGTCCTCTCTATAGAAGTGAACATGCTTGCATGGGTACACGCTGGTTCTACTAATATGTGCTTACACAAGGAAGATCAGGTTCCCCATGGATATGTTCATAGGCAACCTCAACGCCTTGGGTCCCTGACTAATGTGTACTATGTAAGAAAGGGATGAAAGGAGGCAGCAAATTACCATACCAGAGCAATAAAAGCTCTTAGAAGGTGCAATTTTTTTTTTTTTTTTTTAACATTTTCCACTGGATCTAGAAAGAGAAAAAAAATGTAACAGCCGTAAGAACAACCCTGAGGCCCACAGGAGGAGGGAGAGACAGAGAGAGAGAAAGTTTGAGGGGAGGAGGTGAATTATAATAATAATGACTAATAATAATAGCTAATAGTTATTGAGCATTCACTATGAGCAAGACATTGTGCCAAGTGCTTGATATATAGATCATATCATTTAATGAGGTAGATACTGCCCTTATGTCCGTTTTACAGATAAGGAAATTGAGGCTCAGAGAGTTTAAGTAATTTGTGCAAGATCACACAACTAATGAGTAGGGGAGCCAGAATTTCAGCTCAGGTTTATCCACCTCTGAAACCCACATTCTTAACTACCTGTCTATCCTACATTGTGGTCTGAGACTGAGAAACATCCCTGGGGATTTACAAATGTGAGAAGCCCTCTACCCCCAACAACATACATCCCTATTGCTCTTTATTTGCAGCACTTGTATTTGCAACATGATCCCTCATGACTTTGTGTGATTGAACATTATACAGACACTTCTCCTACCTAATATCTATTCTCTCCTTTCATTTCTTAGCAACAATGTTAGATGGCAATATAACAGCTGTGGAGTGGCTACGTCACACAAAAAAAATCTAAGCAGAAGTCTGCTGGGATTTTCTAGGGGAAGTGGCTGTTTTCCTCATTCAGGTATTACTGCCCTTTCTTGTTTCTCCCTTTCTCCCACCTACAATATGGATATGAGGCTGGAGGTGCAATGAGTATTTTGCAACCATAAGGGTGAAAGCTACCTGATAATGGCAGTCAGAATAGAAAGACAAAAAGGAGCTTGTCCTTGACTAGCATCTGGACTTCTTTTTAGATGAAATTATAAACAGACTCCTTACCTATGTTAACCACTGTTAGTCTGGCTTTCTGTTGCTTACAGCTGAAAGCAGTCCTGATACACACAATTCTTTCTGACTCAAATGCCCTCGTTTGCTTGACAAAGTCATCTTTAAGCACTTCGTTCAAAAATTATGTCTTTTGTGAAGTCTTCCTTGACCCTTCATTCTCCTCCTCACTGCCCTGTTACCACCTGTCCCCTTACCCCCGCCCCATCTCCTCATCCCTGTCCTCCAATGCAAGAAGTCAGGTACTCCTACTGTATGTTGTCATAGCACCTATCTTATTAAAGCATTATGAAAGCACTACAACATTACGATGTTGTACTAAAATGTTAGTTTTCTCTGATAGACAGTGAACTCCTCGAGGACAAGAAATTCACTTCTGAATCTTCAGTGCCCACTGTAATCCTCTTTAGGAGACATATAAGTCTTACTCCAAGCATACCCAAGCAAAATTGGTGGAATATTTCCTTGAAATATTTCCTTGAAATATTCCACTAATCTGAAAGAATATATCAATGTAATAGATGATGCATGATGAAAATAAACATTAAATGTACTATGAGCATAGGCTCAGAGATGTCAAGTACCTTGCCTAAGTAAGTGTAACAGAGCCCAATACGGAGTGTCAGCTGGGACTTTTTATATTTTGTTGGTCACAGAGGCATGTTCCCGCTACCTAGCCCAAAGGCAAGGCCCTTTGAGGGGAGGATCTCACAGAGACCAGGTGCTAATCAGCAACCTCACCATTATCAATAAACACTGCTGACAAGCTGAAACTCCCGGGATCCGTGATTACAAAGAAACACCAGTAACAGAACGTTTCCTTAATCTGGTCCTGTCAAACTATTACATGAAAATATGAATATTGCTTTAAGGACTAAGGCCAGCTATCCTATTCTTCAGTAATCACTCTAAAGATATAAGACATAAATTTGTGGGTGTCTTTTGTTCTAGAGATACCCAGAACCTTCAAATACTCGAAAATTCCAGGGGCACTATAATACAGGATCATTTTAACTGAACTACCAACCTGCCAATCGCAGTATTTGAAGATAACACTGTTTCTATTAGCCAGAGGTAAAAACTTAGAATATTTAGCAAAGAACCACTTCTTATTACCTCAGATTGTTGCAGAAGAGCAGAGAACGGGAAGACAATGGACCCAAGCCAATTCTTTCTTATATATGTATGACCACTGCAGCTCTTGAGACAGTGATCCTATTAAAATAAATAATTTTTCTGTTACTTATTTAATAAGTGATGAATAGTTTCATATATAGAAAATCATTCTTTCATTTAAAAAGAAAACAGTAAATAGAAAATGATATTTTTCTCACTTATAATCTCTTTAAAAAATAATGACCTGTTGTGGGTTTTTTTTAATATATATATATATAAATGTATGACAAAGTACAGGAGAGGAAAATGGAGGTATACTATTGTAATATACTTTGTTACACTATATGTGAAGTGGTATAATATTATATAAAGGTAGACTGTGATAAATTAAAGAGTGTATTGTAAACCCTAGAGCAACAATTAAAAAATAAAACAAAGGTAGAGCTAATAAGCCAACCAATAGTGGCTTGTGTGGTTTATGATCTCTGTTACATTTGAACTAACTTGTCATATATCTGATTTTACCGCACATTGCTTCGAATCCTTGTTAGAAAATATTAGATATAGATTCTGCATCTAAGAGCAAATTTACAAATATGTTACTAGACTTCATTCAGTTTGGCCTTCTTAGAAAGACTTCAACATTGATTATTATAATTATTCTGCTTTACCTCATGTTTTTCAATCATCATTTCATCAAAAATGTTGATATATATATTGTCTTTTATTTTAGATAAGCTTGAGAAGCTGTAATCATGCCCTGGTGAGCTGCAAATAAGAAAAGCATATTTAAATGCTTACTTTTTTCAAAATTCATTTATTTTATAACAGCAGTACTCACAAAAGACTATAAAATTACCTGTATTTTCTTTGAAAAAGTGTAAACTAAGAAGAAGCTATGTGATTTGAAGAGTAGCTGCCACTTTTAATTAAAGCCAGTTGTGCTTTGTAATTTATCTTATATCTCTCTTAAGGTGATTTGCATGAAAAATAAAAATGTTTAAATGTCAAGCAGAAAGACTTTCACTATAGCCAGCTATTGCAAACAAATTATTTGGAATATAAAATTTTCCAACTACCTTAAATTCTGCTAGTTTCTGCTAATTCACCTATATAGTCAAAACGCTCTTTTGCTCTCAATTAATAGATACGACTCTTTAATCATGGAGCTTATTCTCTTTTCCATATTTATTTTCTCCAACCAGAAACTGGGATAGTGGAGTGCATTTAATTTTGTAAGCTGTCTGCTGATAGCTTACTTGATTGGGTACATTTTTGGAAAGGATAGTGTAATATCTCATGAGCAATGAACTTCCACTCTCAGCTCCAGCTTGCATATTGAATCTTGATCAAATTTCTAACAGCGATAAAAGTCACAATCTCATGCAGTAGATTATTTTACATCAGGAAACTGAAGTTCAGAGAAGTTCAATAACTTGCTCAAGGTAATGCTGCCAGCAAGGGACAGATCCCTGATCTGAATCCAATTCTGACTGACTTGAAAGGCTAGGCTCTTTTCACTATACCAACTGTTACTGACATTATTTCTTTAAGCCTGGTGCTTACAGAAGCAGCTACTATTTCAAAGGATCCCCAACAGCTTTATAACTTTCTGAGACCTACAAGCAATGACAACCAAAAAATCCTACTTGAGCTTAGAGAACAATTTTTTTAAATTTATTTTTTATTTTTTTATTGTACTTCGGATGAAGGTTTACAGAACAAACTAGTTTCTCATTAAACAGTATACATATTGTTTTATGATATTGGTTACCAACCCCATGACATGTCAACACTCTCCCTTCTCGACCTTGGGTTCCCTATTACCAGCTTTCCTGTCCCTTCCTGCCTTCTAGTTCTTGTCCCTTGCCCACTGTGCCCCTTTAGTCTCATTTTGTTTTATGGGCCTGTCTAATCTTTGGTTGAAGCGTGAACCTTGGGAGTGACTTCATTACTGAGCTATAAGGGTGTCCGGAGGCCATACTCTGGAGGTTTCTCCAGTCTCCTTTAGGCAGTAAATCTAGTCTTTTTTTTTTTTGTGAGTTAGAATTATGCTCTACATCTTTCTCTAGCTCTGTCCAGAACCCTCTATTGTGATCCCTGCCAGAGCAGTCAGTGGTGGTAGCCGGGCACCATCTAGTTGTACTGGACTCATTCTGGTAAAGGTCATGGTAGATGTGGTCCATTAGTCCTTTGGACTAATCTTTCTGTTGTATCTTTAGTTTTCTTCATTCTCCCTTGCTCCTGAAGGGGTGAGACCAATGGAGTATCATAGACGGCCGCTTACAGGCTTTTAAGACCCCAGACGCTACTCACCAAAGTAGAACGTAGAACATTTTCTTTATAAACTATGTTATGCCAATTGAGCTAGATGTTCCCTGAGACCATGGTCCCCACAGCCCCCACCCCAGCAATTCAGTCCCTCAGGGAGTTTGGATGTGTCTATGGAGATTCCATGCCCTTGCCTTGGACAAGTTGTGCTGGCTTCCCCAGTACTGTGCAGTTCCACCCTTCACCAAAGTCACCACTTATCTATTGTCTACTTAGTGTTTTTCCCATCCCACCCTCCCTTCCCTCGTAACCATCAAAGATTTTTTCTTTTTGTGTTCAAATCTTTTCATGAGTTTTTATAGTAGTGGTCTCATACAATATTTGTCCTTTTGTGATTGACTTATTTCACTCAGCATAATGCCCTCTAGATTCATCCATGTTATGAGATGATTCGAAGATTCATCATTGTTCTTTTATCGTTGTGTAGTATTCCATTGTGTGTATGTACCATAGTTTGTTTATCCATTCATCTGTTGATGGGCATCTAGGTTGTTTCCATCTTTTTGCTATTGTGAACAATGCTGCAATGAACATGAGTATGCGTATGTCTGTTTGTGTGATGACTCTTATTTCTCTAGGATATATTCCTAGGAGTGGGATTCCTGGACCATATGGCATTTCTATTTCTAGCTTTCTAAGAAAACACCATATCATTTTCCAAAATGGTTGTATCATTTTGCATTCCCACCAGCAGTGCATAAGAGTTCCGATCTCCCCACAGCATCTCTAACATTTGTTATTTCCTGTTTTTTTGATTTGTGCCAGTAATGCCGGGATGAGATGGTAACTCATTGTGGTTTTGATTTCCATTTGTCTAATGGCTAGTGATCGTGAGCATCTCCTCATGTGTCTGTTGGCCACATGAATATTATCTTTGGTGAAGTGTCTGTTCATTTCCTTTGCCCATTTTTTAATTGGATTATTTGTCTTTTTGTTGTAGAGGTATTGGATTTTCTTGTAGATTTTAGAGATTAGACTTTTGTCTGATTTTTAATAGCCAAAATTCTTTTTCCCAGTTTGTAGGTTCTCTTTTTACTCTTTTGATGAGCATTAGTGTTTAATTTTTAGAAGATCCCAGTTACCTAGTTTATCTTCTGGAGTTTGTGTGTTGTTAGTTATGGTTTGTACCCTGTTAACACTGTGTATTAGGGCTGCTTAGAGAACTATTTTAAGTTGGGTTCCTTATATTTCTAAATGATACCCAGCTGACTCCCCCAACCTGCTCCTTTAAGAGTTTCTTTTCATGCTGCAATTAAAGAGGAAGGGGAGGTAGGACAGGGAAGGCAATGCACATTTACTAACATTATGTCAGCAGGAGAAATGACAGATAACTCATCCTCAAGACATTTTCAAGCATGTTGACTTAGTATATCTTTTAAATCACTCAAGTCCTTGTGCATCACCTTGCATTTTGTATTCTATGCAAACTTTCTTCAAACTTCACTGGAATTCCTCTGCCAATGTAGAGCTCACTGGTTAATTACTATTTACAATTTATTTATTGGAGCCCTGGTAGCACAGTGGTTAAATGATTTGCTGCTAACCACAAGGTCAGCAGATCAAATCCACCAGCTGTTCCTTGAAAATCCTATGGGGGAGGGTCGCCATGGGTCGGAAATGACTTGATGGCAACGAGATAGGATAGGATTTATTTACTGTTAATTCTGTTTGCATGTGGTTTTTATTCACTAACGTGTCATGGGGAGAGGGGAATAGAGGCCTTATATCCAAGGCAATGAAAAGTGATAACTGGACAGTTTTGCCTAGCTGAACCCTCTGATCCAGTTGGCTATACCCCAAATACAGCTTATCTAACTGCTGCAATTGCAAGAATGTAAACAGTCTAAGTTCATGTATCTTACTGACAGTTTTGTGTTCTCCTAAATCAAGTAATTTAATGCAACATATTTCTTCTAATTCTAACTTCTAAATGAATATACCAAATATTTCTCAACACACATGGATCACATATTTTACCAAATACATTTTTAACCAAATACATTTTATATTCTCATTACTTAATATCTTACAATACAGTAGAATAGATTTCCCTTTCAATCAATACTCCCCATCACACACAAAGAGTTAAAAGATCAGGTAAGCAGATATGAGAGAACAAGGCAAAGTAAGAGGTAAAAGATCCAGCCAGGCAGCCAAATAACATGGATATCTGCTTTGGGACTCTGGCCAGAGGCTCCGAAAATACAATTGAGCCTGTGTTGAATCTGGAAGAACAAACTTGGTAATCTGCTAATAGCAGAAGTATCCACAGCATCTAAGCCAACACAATTCCTAGGCATACTGATCCATTAGATTTTTCCCCCTCAAGTTGAAATAATGGCATAAACAAGGTCTTGCTTCTTGCAAATGCTGGTAAGGGTTTGCAGGGCTTCACTTTCAGGAGTGGAGTCTGAGAAGGACTGGGGAAGGTACAGGGTGGTTGGTGGTCCTGGGCTCACACAGCTTGCACCTAGGCCCTCAAAGATGGTACCTTGCTTGGAAAGTATGATGAGGAGTCTGACTTCATTTTTTTGATGTTTGACTACTGACAGCTTTTAAACTTCACCTTGACCTCTTCCCCTTGTGCCCCACATCTGGACAAGCTGATAAGAAAGCTTGAATGCTCCCTCCTTTGGCACCAGCGGGAGACTGAAACTATGCAAGTCCCTTCCTGTGGGAATCCTTGCCCTGGGCCCACCCCTAACCACAATAAAAACTCGGGCCAGTCTCCTTTCCTTGCTTTCTCAAGCCATTTCAAGCCTGCTTGAGAGGCTTACCCCGCATTCCCCAGAGATCTCAATTATGTAAGTAATAAAACTTTTTATATCCTCTTGATATATGTGTGGCATCATCAGTCTCAACATCTGAACCAAATTTTGGGTGAGAGGGGGTATCCATTTGCCTTGCAGGTGACCATAACAGAAAGCCTGAGTGACAATGGAGCTTCCTGGTTAGGCCCACAGCCAAGGCCTTGTTTATACAATCTTGCAGGGAAGAGTGGTTGGAGACTGAAGAGAATCTCCTTCAATCCTGAGAATCAGGACCCACTCACAGAGACAAAGTAAAGCACACAATGCTGGAGGGAAAAGCAACACAAGAAACTCAAGGTCCAGGAGACCAGGAAGCTAGCATTCAGAAACCAGGAGAATTACAGGAGTTGAAAACTCAGAGCAAAGCTGTCAAAAAACCTTGCAGATAGGAACCACATTATAGGCAGAAATTGAGGGGGCACAATGAGGTGGGCAAGAGAAAGGGGAAAGGGCACCAGGAAAAGGCAAAGGAGTTTGATAACGAATACAGTTGATGGCTCCTTATACCTCTTTCACCTCTGTGAGAGCCAAAGATCGATAGGTAGTGACAACTGTAAATTGCTAGTTGAATACAGAGAACAACTTTAAGTCCATGTGGGAATGATTTTATTTCAAATTTCTCTTTATCAGTGTACTTCATTTCCAATAACAATTAAAAAACCATTTATAGCTGTACAACACAAAGAGTCAATCCTAATGTAAACTATGGACTTCAGTTAATAACAATGTATCAATACTGGTTCATCAGTTGTAACAAATGTACCACACTAATGCAAGATGTTAATAATTGGAGAAACTGTGTGCAGTGGGGCTAGGGGGTACATGGGAACTCTCTGTACGTTCTGTGCAATTTTTCTGTAAAACTAAAACTGCTCTAAAAACTAAAGTGCATTAAAAAAACTAAATTCCTTTAGCATCAATATGATTCCAAGTTTGAATTTTGTATTTTGCTTCCAGTACAATTAAGGTGATTACATGATAGTCATTCATTCAAACTATTTATTTTCTTCATATTAGTGAGCAAGGGAGACATGCTTCCTGTCCACAGGGAGCTTATATTTTAGTGAATGCACTATTCATGCCAGATACAAACCTTATTGCATAACAGTTACATTTCTCCCTGTAATTTGTAAATAGAAAATATTTTTTGAAAAACATTCTGTGTATTCTGACTTTGGGTTTCTAATTTTTCATAAATATCAGTTGTCTCATTTGAAGATACCTGAGAGTTCGTTTTCATTTATGTTGGAAATTTCTTTCAGCCATTCTTACTAGGACTTTGACACTTAGTCTCTAAGCCTTCTGCTTACAACTTACAACCTTTCCACACTTCCTTTTCTTTCCAAAAATTTTCTATAATCTTTTAAATTGTGAATGATAGCAGTGATGACATTTTAGTTTAGATGAAGTCTCTCCTATCTGTATAGATTCTACCTCTGCCAAGGATTTCTTAGTCCCTAACAAATCTAAAACTTCCTCTTGGCATTGCCATTCTGTCTACATGTTATTTCCACTACACCCATGTGAATCTAGCAACGTATCTCTAAGACAGTGCAGTCTAATATAATTATTACATTTGTCAACTCTGTTATAATCACTTCATTTTAGGGCTCTCTTTTGACAATTCTCTTCTGAGGACTAATCAGGAAGATTTTGGAAACTGATAAAAGATTCAGAACTTGCAAGGTATGATGTGGCTTTCCTGCCTGTAAGAAGATGCCATCACACATATGCAAGTGATTATTCAGTACTTCTGAGTTCTCTTAGTGTTAGCTGGTGGGAGGATAAGTTAACAGAGGCATTGGGCAAATTTATCATATAAAATGAGGGGCAAATTCTAAGCAATCCTGCTTACAAATAAGATAAGAAGTCAAATTTCCCCCCTCAAGATAAAAATAGAGACACATTACTTGGAAAACAGTTTTGATGTTTGATAGCCACGATATCATCATAAGAGAAATTTTTAACCAGCAGTAAAGCACAGCAGTGATAGAGAAAGTGGATATGGAATAGATAGATTTTTACTGGGTCTATTGTGTATGTGTGTGTATTCCTAAGCACACATATTTAATTGTGTTCTAGATTATTCTAGTCCACATCTGTTTCTTTACTTGAGTACGAAGCAGGAACACAGGTGTCTATTGCTGTTTAGATTTATAGAACTGATTTTGTAACTATTTCAATGAAAGGCACCTTTAATATACAAGGATACTGTAGGAAAAGACTTACCACACTCTGTAGAAAGTACAAATGGCCTAAAAATTTAAAGCAAACTGACATGTTTTGAAGTAAAGAAAGTAAAGGAAGTCTACTCTTTATTAAACAAAATTTTTAATAACTTGTCTTATTTTTACTTCTATATAGTATTCCATTGTACAAAATGCCATAATTTATTTATCCATTGTTATGACAGCCCTAGGAAACTAATTCAGTAATATTAAATTTCTTAAGCTGGATAGTAGATACATAACCTGTTGATGTCGAGTCGATTCTGACTCATAGTGACCCTCTAGTACAGGGTAGAACTGCCCCATAGGAGCCCTGCTGGTGCAGTGGTTAAGAGCTCGGCTGCTAACCAAAAGGTTGGCAGTTTGAATCCACCAGCTGCTCCTTGGAAAACCCTATGGGGCGGTAGATAAATAGGTGTTCATTTTATTATTTTTTTAAATTATTTTTCTTTATTATTTTTATTAGTTTTCTTCAGAATTTACATATATGATTTTATATACATACATATACATATTTTATACATACATCTGTACATATATGTATATATGTATGTATATATAAAATATTTTGAAATTAAAAAGCTTGAAAAATAAAGCCTATCTAGATCATTAATTTCAATAATGGCACAAGAAAATAATTTTGTTACTGCTATATTTTTTTAGGTGTTGAGGAAAAATGGACTCCAACTTACACAAAGTCTACTTTAATTTCTTCATTCCAGCATGGATGAGATCCACTTGCAGTATTGGTTTGGTATACAGTGTGTTGAAAAGAAACTTCCACAAAAGGGTGTACAGTATCCTGAAACACATAATAAACATTGACTAGATTTTTGTAATATTTTTATATACTTGATAAAGGTGGAAGACTATGAAATTACTTGGTTATTGGCTGGCAAATGAATGGCTTCCTTTTTCTAGTGTTTCAAATAACTATTATTTATTCATTCATTCACTTAATAAACATTTATTGGTCCTATTATATACTAGGTACTTTTCTAAGAGCCCTGGTGGCACAGCGGTTAAGAGTTCAGGCTGCTAACCAAAAGGTCTGCAGTCCAAATCCACCAGCCGCTCCTTGGAAACACTATGGGGTAGTTCTACTTTATCCTATAGGGTCGCTATGAGTCGGAATCAACTTGATGGCAACAGGTTTTTGGGTTTTTCTAGAATTCAGAAATAAATGGAACTTTCTCTTAAGGATTTTACAATAAATGGGTGAAAAAAACCCAGGCAAACAAAGAATTGCAATGACATGTGAGAAATGAAGTAATAGAAATATATTCAAGGTATAATAGTTACTCAGGAGAGGGAATAATTAACATTCTGGGGTGAGGATAAGAAGGGATTCACAGAAAAAATATTGCCTGAGCTTGGGTTTTGAAGTATTAAGTAGTAGTTCATTTGACCAACAATTTGGGAATATGTGGAGGCCATTCCAGGCAAAGTACAGATCACATATAGGCATGTACAGAGGCCTTCTAGGACAAGCAGTAATATGATAGTGCTGTGGGATGGAGAGAGATGAGGCTGATTGGTAGGCACAGGCCAAATCATTAAAAACTTCTGTAGCCATTCTAAGGAGCTTATACCTTATTCTAAAGACCATAAGAGTAGAGAATGAAATGGTCAGAATTATATATAAAGAAAATGTTCACTGTGTTATGGAAAGTGAACTGGAAGCCCAAGAGATTACAGCTGAAGAGGAGAATTAGAAGCCAGTTGCAATTCAGGGTGTACATAATCAATATTGCACTTTATAGAAGTGTTAAATACTTATCTCATTTAATATCTCCTCTGAGGCTACTGATTTGATTGTTTCTTTATGTCTGAGACGAGATACGGATGACATCAAAAAAGTAGGCACATCCAAGGCTCTTCGGGAAAATAATACAGAGACATACACTTTAATTAATTTTAGTTTTAGTGGGAATAGGTATCAGTAGATATTTTGCCTATGCTTATTGAAATACATAATTCAGTTACCCTGGATCTTACAGAGTTTGCTTTGGATTCTCATAGTGTAGGTGGTTAGAACTAAACGTTTAATAATCACTACTCCAGAAGAGTGACTCTAGATGCTGAGCTACGGACTGGATCCAATCTATGATAAAGTTTTCAGTGGTCCTCAGCAAAATGAGAAAAATAAAGAAAGTGATATTTTGAGGTTATGTCCTTCCTACTTCTTTGTTGTTACAATATTCTCTCTTTTACAAAATGACGATTTATAGAAAAAGGTGTTTTTGTATTTATCTCATAAAAATGTTAGCCTCTGAAATGTGCATTCGTTTTGTAAATATTCAGTTCTATTTGATGAATAAGGTTGTAGTTTGTACAACATAGGCAAAATCTTGGAGGTTTTAACTATAGATTCCTGGAAAAAGAGCCTGGCGAAAAAAATTAGTCATTGAAAACCATAGGGAGCCCAGTTCTCTGACACATATGGGGAGGCCACAAGTTGGAGTCGACGCGATGGCAACTGGTTGATTTAACTATACATTAGTAGCTAGTAAGCAAAAAGTTTGTTTTTCATAGGTAGAAATCATGGAATCCGTTAAGTGTAAGCTAAGCAAGTAGAAAATATGTGTGTTAAACATAGAGAGCAATATCTAATACTCCTCAGACACCTGGGTACTAATATCCATAATATACTAATCATGCATGAGACTAAATATATAAGAGGCACTAAATTCAGGGTACTCTAAATATACACGAGCACTTAATATTTATGAGGCCTTAATTTGGCTGTTCACTGCTAGACCCATTCTGGCCCAGTGCATGCTGTGCTCAAGAAATACAAATAAAACCTGCTGAGTGCCTATGGAAGGGGAGGATGAGATTTGATTTTTGCAGAGATCACCTAAAATGACAAGTCCAAAACAGAAAGAGCAGGGTTTAGCTGCAGCAATTCTGACTTCATGAAACATTTCAACTTTGCTTCATAGCTTTCCTGGGACGTTTCCTAGTACAAAATTGATGTTCCACCTACTCTTTCCAGCTTTCTGCTTCCAATACTGAGAGGAGAAAATGTCAAGGAATAGCGCAGTGGGCATCAGCAGCTTCAGAAGTTTTCACAAGACGAAATAGGGACAAAAGCTATTTATTTCGTATAGCATGTGAAAGTGAGCAGCTGGCAAATACGCCAAAATATACATGTTAAAGTCACTTTGGGAATCTCAAACTTCTGAAAACTCTTAATACATGGCAATGAAAGTGAGTTTGACTATTCAGATGAAGATTTCAACTTTCACTCAGTTTATGTATATGAAGTATTAATAAAGTGCAAACTTTGCACAAACAGGGCAGTGTGGGTATTTATCACATTTAAGATAGAGCTTTTGAAACTCTTAAAAATTAGTGTATATTGCCTTACCTATTGACTGTTGTTTTTCTGGTAGGAATATTATAGGCCCTCAGAATTCTGACAAGAATCTTAATGTCTCCCTGAGAGACGGTCTGTGCTGCAAGCTTTTTCCTTTCTTTCCTTCGAGGCTTTAACTTTCTTCGCCGTTCAACAAGCTTACAAAGTGCATGTGTCAACTGGCTAAAGAGTAAAAAACGATTAGCTCTATATACATAAAATAACCTAATCTTAAAAGGTATTGATTGTTTGATTAATTTTTGTAAATGCAGGCATTATTCTGAACCATATTCTCTCTATTATGGAGGGGAAAAAGAAAGGCATCTTTCTGAGCATAGAAAGGAGGAGATACAATGTTCACTAATGTTGAGAGAGAATATGATCGCTTCATGACCTTTGGATACATGGTCCAAGGAGAGACAAGGGAACAGAGAGGTAAAGCCATGAAACGTGATGCTCTTTCAGAAGACTATTCATTTTTCAGGAATTATTCTGAATAATTGAGCACCCAATAATTGAAAGTTACTGGGTACTCAAATTTTCTTCATGGCTCGGCAACAGGAGTTATTAGTTACACATAGCTGCCAACCCAGAGAACACAAACCCGTACAATTACAGCTTTATGATCACACTCATTTCCCCCTCAAGGACTAAAAATAAAACACAATAGATTTCAGCATCCTAAACCAACTAAAACCTTATTGTTAATACTAAGAGCCAGGAGGTGGTCCCCAGGGAGGTTTCCCAGAGACATAGCATCTCTCCTCTTGTTTCTACCCCTAAGTTTCACCAATAGGACCATATAGGAATTGAGTTACTTCAGCCAAAGGCTCCCCCAACTGCTGCCTGTGGGTCACAGCACCCTTGTATGGCTGAGGATGCTCCGTTTTGAAAAGCGAGATTACAGGCTTAGTGAGTGGTGCTACCAGCAATGGCATTTCCAGTAGTCCTAGGACAGGAAAAAGCTTAGGGCAAAACTAATTTGGGATAAAGATGTTTCTTCTATTTTTCTTTCTTGTCCTAAAAATGATCAGTAAGGAGAGGGAAAAAACTATCCTAAAAGACTATATAATTGAAAACATATATCATGTCGATATATCCAAAATGCAATTTTAAAATGTCCAAATATATTTTAAGTTACTATATCTCACTTTATGCTCTAAAACTGCATCTTTTGCCATGTGACTTAATATAAAAAATAGAGAAATTATTAGAGAGCTTTGAAAGTATTAGCATAAAACTTTATAATATATTTCATATTTAAAGCAATTTTAGTACATACCTTGCAGATATAATTTCTTCATAATCAATCACAATATCTGATAATTTAAATCTGCTCACTTTCACAATTCTTTTCATTATCAACCGTCTCATCTACAAGACAAACCCACATTTTTAGAATTTAGAGAAATGCATAGTTTATACTTTAAGGTCAAGTATTTGCAATGCTATAGGTGCCACTATTTTTTACTCTTAATTTTTGCAAGCAGTGAATGGAAAGGGGTATTAGATTAGTGAAAATATGGTTCTGTTTGCTGCCATTATGAAAATCATTCCCAACTCTCACAGTAATGATACACCGATGCAAGTTCATTTCTTTCCACTTCTATGTCCTTCCATATCCATCCATTTCATCTCATCCCAACTCTTTGCTCTCATCTTTTCTCCCCACCTAATCCACAGAATACATAGACAGAATTAGTTTCCACCAAAGTAGATGGCTGTCCTGTGAATCCGTTTTTACAAGAGCCACTGTAATGGGCACATTTATAATAGACATGAATTTTGATCCACAAACTCAAAGAAATATCATCACATTTCCTTTGAGCCGAACCTATTCTGACTTTAAGCCTTTCAGCTTTACACGAAATTCAGTCCTTGAACAGAGCCCTTTCCCTAAACCCTTGCTGCTTGCAGAACCCACAGGCCTTGGTTCCTCCGAGGACTTTGAAAATCTCCTTTTTAATCTCAGGGAATCCCTTCCTTTCTCCTCCAATCCCATCCTTCTTTGGGCTTTCAGACATGAAACCAGGAAGGGGCATGTCAAGAGGCACGCCCTGCCACAAATAATCCCGGAGACAATGTAACCAAGAGCCTACTCTTCCGCTTGATTGGGGTAGGAAAATGGGGACAAGGGTGGGGGCCAGAACAGGAAAAATGTAACTCCTAAAAATTATCCTGCCACACCGACAAATTGTTTTCCTTGAAAGTGAGCCAGACCCTCAGACCCCATTACTGTTTACTCCTCTCTCCTTCTCTTTTCCTCCTCCCTCCCTTGGCACCATGCAGACGGGGCTCCTTACTGCTCCTGCTAAGGTCAGGTGTGCTCCTGCCTCAGTGTTTTCACCTATAGTCCCATCACCCTGGAACGTTCTTGCCCTAGAAAATTCCATGGCTCGCTTCTTTACCTCCTTCAGTTCTTTTTTTGAATTGTCACTTATTTGCTTTCCTTGACCACCTTATTTAAAACTGCACCCGCCTCACACACACACAGAACTTCTCTCCTCTTTTCCTAGTTTGTTTTCATAGCACGTTCACTCTCTAATCTACTAATAATGTTTTGTCCATCATCTGATTTATCTACTAGAATATAAACTCTATGAGGGTAGGGTTTTAGCCTGTTTATTGCTGTATTTCCAATGCCTAGTAGAATGTCTGATTCATAGCTGGTGCTCAATAACTCTTTGTTGAATAGATAAATGAAATAAAGAGATTGAGGAGATGTACTAGCCTCTTAGATTCAAACATTTCAGTAAACTTTATCTAGCAATCCTTCAGACTGCTGGGACTCCATTCTTTACTGCTAAAACCTTGGCCTCAGCCGCTGACCCCAACAGCACAGCAGGAAGTTTAACGCACATCACTCACTGTCCTGGGAGTTCCTCCTACAGCAGGATTTCAGCACCTCTGGCCCTAATGGGCCTCCAGGGTCAAACCTTTCCAGTATCTGTAATTACAGCAATTCTCTTTTGAACCTACCAAACTGCAGGGGTTTTTTTCCCCCAACAATTTTTACATCTATAATTCAGTGTCAACTTGTAATTTTGAACTATCCTCAGACAGCAAAGAAGTCTTCAAAAGAAGTTGAACTCTAACCCTGCTACCCTCCCTCTTGCACTCCCCTGTACATAAAACAGAAGATAAGGGATAGGAAGGATGTGTGTTCTTTTTTCTTATGGACAAGAACAGCTCTTTATTTCCCAAGAGCTAATAAATGGTAGGAAGGGCAGAGGTGAGTAGGGAAAAATATCTGTCAGTGATGGGGGGGGGGCCCTTTCACACCGAGGGCAGCTACAGTGGTCTGCAATCCCACCACCATCTCACAGTAAGAACTAGCATAGGACTTGAGGTTTTATTTCATTTGCCACTCATATCTGAAGTAAAGCAAAGTAGGCATTACTATTGTCTGTTTTTACACAAGAAGAAAGTGGGATTCAAAGAATACTTGCACAGGGTACTCTGAACAGGTCTTTGGACACCTGCCTGGGGCTCTTCTAGCTGCATAATGGTTGCTTTTCACCTGTCCCCATGAAAGTCTGGAATGTCTTTAGGTCTTTTCATGACTCTCCTTGCTTCTTTTCAAATTACCCTAGAAGGCTTCGCTGGTGCTCTATAGCAAAATCTATGCTCTTGTGTGAGATTCTACTTTTGCAGGAGTCTTAGAAACCACCTCAGTCCGGGTTTCTTATCGCTTACTTCATTAATTTCTCAAACATTTATCAGCATTTTCTAAGTGAAGAGCACTGTGCTAGGCACAGCAGATCTTCACATAAAGTCCCTGAACTCCAGAATTTTAGAGTGGAGTGATGAGGGGTCAGTGGAAAGAAATCAGGAACGAAATTCAGTTGAGGGATTCCACTTCAAATTTGGATGAGGCTTGGCTAGAGTGTCCTGTAAATGTTTAATGTTTACTCTGTATTGAAGCGTCTGTCTCTCTAATCATTTCTGTCTACGTCTGGTAGATCGTTCACTACCGGAATTGCTGTGGTCTATGGTATTATGAGGCACCAGTAAAAGGAGGAAGTCCCTGGGTAGTACAAATGGTTACTATGTTTGGCTGCTAAACAAAAGGTTGATTTGAGTTCACCCAGAGGCACCTTGGAAGAAAGGCCTGACAATCTACTTCCAAAAATCACCCGTTGAAAACCCTATGGCGCACAGTTCTACTTCAACACACATGGGATCGCCACGAGTCGGAGTTGACTCGATGGCAATTGGTTTAACTGGTAGTAAAAGTAGGGATTCTGGAAAAATGCGAGTATATATCTCAAAGTGAACTTTTAGGGTCAAAGAAGAGATAGGATCTCTTTAATGTGCAAATTCACATTTTTTTAAAAAAGTTGGCACATGCTTTAATGAGTTTGCTGACAACTGAGATAATCTTTGTATCAACAATGTACATCAACATTTATAGATGGTAAGTAACTAACTCTGAAAAGGCAGTCTAAGGAGACTAGAAAATTTTTCCTTAAAAAATCAGAAAGAGGTGATGAGTAAGTGGATTTGCCCATCTGACTCTCTGGGAAGAGTATAAATCCATGCATTCAGCAAACCGGGTTTCACAAAGTAAATAAAAACATACTGATGCTGCTTTGTTTTTGTTACCTTTTTCAGAAAATTGGCAGAATGAATCCTTTGTGCAGTAATAGAATTCACATCTGAAATGGATACATCCTTCTCTATCTGACTTTCAAATTCCTAAACAGAGAATTAAGTTAGTTTTCACTTCCTGAATGTAGCAAAGACTTCAGATACGACATATTACAATAAAATATTAACTATTCATTTCAGCTCATGTGTAGGAGGACATTGGCAACACTCTGGCACTGAGAGACAAAAACATTCCTTACAGATTCTTCAAGTGAGAATCAGCTAAAACCAGTTTATCACTATGTTCTGTTTGCTTCTAGGATGAGGTCCATTCATTTTTTAAAATAGAGTAATGGTAAAGAAAAAGAAAAAGGGATTGAGTTAACGATGAGAAAAAGTTCTTCATGTATAGTTTTACCTAACAATCACTAAAATACAGAACAAATGGGAAGTAGTATAGTATCCTGGTTAACAGCATGGGTTTTGGAGGCAGGCAGTCCTGGGTTCAAGTCGGCCCTGCCATTTCCTGTGTGTTTTGAGAAAAGTTAATCAACTGCTCCAGACCTGTTTCCTCTTCTGTAATAATAACAATAATAGTACCTACATCACAGGGTCGTTGTGAGACTAAGCTGATGCAACATCTGCAAAATTCCTGGCACATACTAAATAAGTAGTCAATATGTGTTGACTGTAATCAGTAACTTTAATTTTACATGTGCAGTTGTTGGTATAAGATTGTTAGGATTCTCCATCTATCTAATTTACAATAAATGTGCATCTGTCATATATGCATTTTGGAATACATCCCCAATACACATGAAAATTCTTTTATATTACAGATATCACTCAAGAATAGACAATAATAATGAAGCAGATGCTTTAGCATCTTCAGCCATGTTACAATGACTGCTGTATAATGTGAGGGTAAATTATTTGTTCTTTTAATTATGCAAGAGAAATCTTGATATTAATTCTGTTGACAAGTAACAACAACTTTTACTTAAGGACATCTGACACCAATATTTTGTATCACTTTATTTACTTCTAAAATATTAATTTGTAGGAGTTAAATATTCTGGATATTAATATTTTTATTATATGTATCGCAAATATATTTTCCTAGTCCATGGGTTTTTAATTTTAATGTTATCAAATTTATTCATCTTTTTCTTTATAGTTTATACTTTCTGTGTCTTGTTTAAGAAATAACTTTCCTACTGCAAGATAAAGATATATTTAATTTTAACCTTTGTTTTTAACATGTAATCTTCATTACATATGGCATTTTTCTATTTTGTGAGATATGAATCTAATTTTATTTCTTTCCACACAGATGATCAGTTCTGCCAGAATCACTTAATGGATTGTCCATTCTTTTCTCACTGATTTGTAATGACATCTCTGTCAAATATAAAATTTCCATATATGCATAATAAGTCTATTTTGAGTCCCTCTATTCTATTTCACTGGTTTGGAACTGCATTACTACATTTACAGATTAATCTGGGCAAAATCAGCATTTTACAATATCGAGTCTTCCTATCAGTGAAAATTTATTCAGGTTTTTTTTTTTTTTTACATCATTTAAAAAATGTTTTATAATATTCTCCATTAAGTTTTTGCACATCTTTTAAAAATATATCCTATGTATCTTACAGTTTTCATTGCTATTATAAATGGTATATTTTTTTTTAAATTACATTTTTTTAGTGGATTTTTACTGGTTGTATGATGCTTCATCTGTCCCTCTCTTTTTTCTTTTATAGCTAAACATTTCAAAGTAAATTACAGACATGACACTTCATCTCTATATCTTAAACAGGAATCTGAAAGCTAAGAACATGCTTCTACACAACCACAATGCCATAATCAGAGATCACAAAATTAACAATTTCCCAATATTATCTAATATTCAATCCATATCCAAATTTCACCAATTATCTCAATAATGTCTTTTATAGTTCTTTTCCCAAACCAGAATCTAATGAAGAATAACACGTTGCCTTTAGTCACTTTTAATCTAGAATAATCTGCCTCTTAAAAAAAAAAAAAATGACTTTTTGAAGCAATCAAAAAACAGTTGTTCTTGCAAGCCAGTTGTCCCATGTTCCAAATTTGTCTGTTTCCTTATGATGTCATTTAACTTGTTTCTCTATCCCTTGCATTTCTTGTAAAGTAAAAATCAGTCTAAAGTCTTAATTAGATTCAGATTACACATTTTTGGCAAGGATACTTCTTCGTAAGTAATGCTGTGGATTTCATATTGTATCATATCAGGAGACAACAATGTCTGGTTGTGCTTTACAAGTGTATTAGTTTTCTTTTGCTGCCATAACAAATTACCATAATTTCAGCAGTTCACAACATCACCAATTTATTGTCTCACACCTTTGTCAGTCAGAAGTCCAGGCTGGCTCAGCTGGTTTCTCTCCTCCAGGTTTCACAGGACTGATGCCAAGGTACTGGCCAACTGGGTTCTCATGGGGAGGATCTGGGAAGAAACTGTTTCCAAGCTCATTCATGCTGTTGGCAGAATCCAGTTTCTAACTGGCCGTCACCTGGGGACCACTTTAGCTCCTAGAGGCCACTCACCAGTCTTTGCATGTGGGCCTCTAAATCTCAGAGCCAGTAAAGGCATCCTAAATCCTTGTCTCGCTTGGAATCTCTCTGACTTCCTCTTCTGCTGTATCTTTCTTCTGCTCCCAGTGAGAGAAAGCTCTCTGCTTTCAAAGGCTTATGTGATTAGATTGGGCTCATTCAGATAATTCAGGATAATCTTCCTATTTTAAGGATGTAAAGAAACATATTCACAGATTCTGGGGATTATGATGCAAACATCTTTAGGAAGCCATTATTCTGCCTACCACAATTTATAAGATTAAGTTTGATCAGTGGGTCCAGATGGCAACAAGATTTCTCCATTGTAAGGGTATAGTTTTTTCTTTTGCAATAAAAAAGTAGTTATTTGTTTTTAAATTAGTGTACTATATTCAACAAATTTACTAGTTTGCATAGATTGCTTCTTTTTTTTTTTTTTTCCTTCATGTAGACAAACATTTTCTGCAAACAAGGACAATTTTATCTCTTTTACAATTCTAACTTCCTTCTTTCTTCCCTTCCATCTTAATTAGTTTTTACTGGTAACAGTAAATAGTGGACATCCTTATATTGTTGGCATTAACAGGAAGCCTTTTAATATTTAACCATCAAGTATAATGTTTGCATAGCAGTCTATGAGACAATGAATTTGTGCTCCTGATCCTTACACTATACTCAGTTTCAGAGTCACACAGCTAATAGGGAACTGAATCATAGTCAAGGGATAGATTATAAGGAAATAGGTTTTCCAGAATGCTGGAAAGCAGGACACAGAGAATTTGCTCAAGGACACTGGCTCTGTTTCTTCTCTTGGAGGATGATATGACCTTGGTGATCCTGACTTGGGTTCAAGAGCCAGAATTGTCCAATATTTGTAAACAGCTCCTTAAATGGAAGTGTATTTACAATGTAAGTGTAAATTCTTCTGGGATGGTGATGTAAACCTCACATGGTATAGGAAAAAAAATAGGCTGGGTTTTTTTTTTGTTTTTTTTTTTAGCTTTGGCAAAACCTTACCCTGTGTGGACAGTGTCACTAGAAGCTTACTCCCCATCAGGGCACCAGGGCCCAAATAGAAGCCACACTGAAATTTGTTGCAGTTGTCCTGCCCTGTGGCCTAGCTTCCTTCTGTATGTTTCTATATTCCTGGCTAATTAAATCTGGAATTTAATCTAATTATCCAGTGAGTATACAGGTGGTGCCTTCTCATCCCATCCCACCCCCTACCCCACCCCATCAGTTCTATAATTCACCTCAAACAAATCTGTTCAGTGCACTTTGCATTAGCAAAAAATCCAAAATGTTGAAAACACTGTTTATCAAGTTACAGGAGTTCTCTTCCGATTCTAGTATGCTAAGAGTTCTTATCATGAATGAGCACTGAATTTTATTAAATGCCTTTTTGGCACTTATTAAGAGATCATATTTTTTTCCTTCCTTAATTCTGTTAATTTGGTAAATTATGTTAATAGATTTTCTAATGAAATCAGCTCTGTAGTCTGGAAATAAACCCTACTAAATTATGATATATACATAATACATTGTTATTCAATTTTTTAACATTTCATTAGTATTTTTACACCTAAGATCATAAGTGAAACTGATCTAAAATTAACTTTTTTTTTTACTCCTTGCCCAAGTTTGGTACATAGGGTATCTCAGCATCAGAAAGTGAGTTGGCTTGCTTTCTCTCCTTTTCTGTTTTCTGGATGGTTTGCATATGATAAGGAAGAGCCCCTGGTTTGGAAAGGCAGAGACTATTCCTTTTTTATGATGTCAATCCTCAATTACACTGAGCTTTGTGCTTTGCCTGCAGTAGCTTATGAAACTGTAGAATTGAATTCCATCACTGAGAGAAGCAGCAAGAGGAAACAGAATAGCTTTCCAGCTGTTTTAAGTCAGGCCTTCACACTGCTGCTTACTAGCTGAAATGCCTGAGGTCCCAAAAAGGAGATTAACCACAGTTCTTAAAAGTGGAAAAATCTTGGTCTGTTAATACTCATTTGTGACTACACATATTCCTACTCACTCATGTTAGTGAAAATAATGACGAATTATCTGTAAATCCTGTCCTTATAGACATAATAGTTACATGTGCTTACTGGTGGTGCAATGACATTATTATAGAAAAACTGTTAATTTGCATTTCCCCTTTTACCTCTGAACTACACCAAAACAGTTTGTCAGACAATCCTATGTGGTACAGCTCATGAATGTCCTCCCACTACAACTTGAGTTTTAAATGTAATGAATCCTATATACGGTTTTGCTTGTGTATTCTCTGAATTGGGGTATGAAAGCTAAGGGATCGCTGAGTAGCAACAAGAACAAATACATGTTATTCTCCTTCACTTAAAAAAAAGTCTTTACTATTTTAAAATATTAAGTGGCTTATTAAGGAGCACTGGTGGTGAAGTGGTTAAAGCAACTGACTGCTAACCAAAAGGTCAGTGGTTCAAAACCACCAGCTGCTCCATGGGTGAAAGATGTGCAGTCTGCTTCTGTAGAGATTTACAGCCTTGGAAACCCTCTGGGGTGGCTATGTGTTGGAATCAACTTGAAGGCAGTGGGTTTTTTTTGTTTTGTTTTGTTTTTGGAAGTAGCTTATTGCAATCTCCCTTCATTCTAAAACAAAATGAAAAAATATCAGAGTTTATCAATTTTTCCTTATTAATTGATAATAACTCACCAAAGTTAAATTAATAAACTGATTTTAGCAGAAGGCATTCACTCTTTCTGGCCTGTAAGATGTATAAACCACAGTATTTTTCAGCAGACCCTGGTATCTTTTCTAAGCTGGTTGGCATCACCCTGAAGTATTAATTCTACGGCACATGCGTTTTCTTCAGAGAAGGAAAATTAATCCCTTTCTTGAGCTATCTTTAACAACTCAAGGGCTAGGATTGCTACAGCTGGATATTTCAAGAGGAATCATCTCTTATAATTCCTTGATTGTAAGACAAATGGTGCATTGATTTGCTGGTAAATGTTTAACAACTGGTTCTCTGGGAGTGTGAGGGGGAGTCCGGATTCGAAGCACTTGTTGATTTACAGTGTAAATACTCCTCCAGCAGCCAATTTCAAGCAACCATTGTGAAATCACTGAATGTGGTATTGAGAAGAGATGCCCACAATGGATTCTCATGAGCTGGTGCCAGCTGACGCCATTACACCACTGAATAAGATTGACTCGTTTTTTCTTCACATTTTAAAGCTTCTGAAATTGAGATATGTCTTGTAATCAATCTATAAGTTTAATGTGGTAGTGTTTCTGCTCCTTACCCCCAAAAGCTGCTTTTAAATTGGTGATGCATTTTACAATAACAAAAATATGGTATTTACATAAATTTAGAATATCTATAAAGGATTTTGGTTGTGAAATAGATTATCTGGACAACCTAAGTTGGAAAGTCAAGATAAGTACTTTCTGAAATTTGGAAGAGAAGGGAAAAAAATCTGTCTATGGATTATTAGTTTAAAAAAAAAGGAAGAAAGAAATTAAGTGAAGATATGTTTAAAGCAGCAAAATATTAACTTTACCCAATAATAAATCATATTAAAGTAATACCCAAGTACCTGGAAGACTAAATCCGGAATCTCTCGATCATAAAGGGGCATTTGCTGCAGAAAGAAAACATCTAATTGACCTGCATTTCTAAGCTGCAATAGCTGGAAACGTTTACTCTTTTTCATTTCCTCTTCAGAAACAAAATTAAATTCATCTTGCAACTGTTCAAGACGAAAATACTTTGGAATGTCTTGGCCCTTATGTTTCATGTACTGTAAAACATAAATAATGTAAAGTCTTTACTTAAAATTTGTTTTTTTTAAATTCAAGAATTATCTCAAAGCATCGTTTTTTCCCCTCAAGCGTGAGATGTGAGAGCTGCAGTATAGTATGAAATGGAGCAACTGAATCTGTCCAGAGATAGAACCTGCAAAAAATACAGGATCTAGCCTATAGGGCTTCCCAACCTTTTCCCAGTCATGACTTACATTAAAAAGCCTAATATTTGTATTGTACGTTAGATTAAAAGATGAAACTGTTCCAAACTGGTTGCCCTGATGGATGAGAGAAGGTCAATATTTCTGCACACCTGTAACCAATTCAACATATCAGTTGGGAAGCTCTGATATAGGAAAGCGTAATTCCAGTAATCTATTTATGCATTACCTTTATTCAAGAAATACAAATGTGAGTGCTTGCTACATGTAAGGAGTAGCGCTAGTTACCATCAGAGAAACAGATTGATTAGCTGTAGCTCCAACAAGGAAAGATAAGACACATAAATGAATAGCTACAGTAAATAGAAGAATGAGACTACAGCCATAAGAGCTTATTAAAACAAACAAACAAAAAGTGGACAGGAGGGCAAGGAAAGAAGACCCTTTGTCTAGCTGAGATTACCACGGAACCATTTATCAGTCATACAGGATGAGTAGAACAGCCACTATGAGTGCACTTCTAGGCAGAATAAAGGTATGAAGAAGTATGTTCAGAGCATGCAGAGCAATTCAGTTGGCTATAAGGAAGAGTATGAGAAGTAGTCAGATGATGAAGTCTTAGAAGGAAGGGATGTGTCTATAAATCATCTTTATATTCCCAGCATTTAATAATGGCTGGCACTCAGTAGATGTACAACAGATGTTAACTTGAAGGCCTTCTGGTTGTTGAATTTCTAATTGCCTTTGGGATGCTGAAAAGTATCCGTCCTCAGATTTACCTTTACATGCCCCCTACTGCCTAGAAAAAATACACAGCAAACTATGGTGGAGTATGAGAGGATAGATCTTAGGAAATACGCTTACAATATTGATATCTGCTATAACTTACCATAATAAATTCCATTAAATCTGAATATTCTGGGTTATTTGGATCAATCCTGACTTCATTTACCCATTCAAAAAGCTTCTGTGTATTAATGAGCCATGGAATTCCAGGAACACCTCTAGCATCTACATTCCTTAAAACACTAACATAAAGAAAATATTTGGTGAATTTGTGTGCAACATGCAGGTTATACATCTATTAGATGGTAAAGTATTTAAGAATAAAAAAGGGTTTAGATGTGTTATTCTCCTGGTTTTTCTCACATTCTAACTTGTATCATGGCTTTTTGACAAATGTCTACCTTTCCTTAAGAGACAGTAAGCTTCCTAAGGGTCAAGTCTGTAAATATTCATCTTAGTCATCTTCACTTTGCATAGTAGCTAAAGCATAGTAGGTGCTTAAGTGGATAGTGCTTATTGGATGAATGTATTCTGCAAACAATAAGCATAGTAACTTATTAAATTTTTTTTCATAAGATGTGCAATACTGATATTTAATCAAAATGTTTGCTTAAGCAAAATTAAGAAATTATACAATAATAATTTTAAAAAAAACCTTTAGGCTTTATCTTTACAGATGTAACATAATACAGATTAATACAATTAACTGGGGAGTACATGCCAGAGAAATATCTTTTTTGGTCATGTGAGACCATCTTCAGAAATTGGAGAGTTATAAAAGATGGGCTAAACTGGTAATGTATCCTTAGTGACTTAAACGCTGTAGGCTAAGTGCAGAAGGAATTCAACCTTAAAGAGTAAGGACTTCTTTAGAGCCATCAATTATCCAAGTTATTTAATCTCTCTCTTCATAGATAATTTGTCTTTTCATGTCTAATTAGAAGGTGGACTAGATATCTAATATCCTTTCTATAAAGTACTCAAGAAGAGTTCCAGTCCATACACTGTGGTTCCAGGAATACAGTTCTGACACAAATTCAATACTGTATTAGCCCAAAAGTAGACACAAATTTTACGTTTACTTCTTTCCATCAGCATCTGCTCACATTTCTATGGCGAAGTCTTCTGAAGCTATTGCTGACAAAACTAATGCTTGGTAAGAAAGAATCTAAGCAAAATTAAGACTAGGTGAAGTTTGAGTACTCTTCCTTTCTTTTACTTTCTATTTCTGTCCCCATATTTCAACTATCTTGATGCCTTTGTCATAAGACATAGTCCCCACGATTTCTGACTCAGGGAAAGTAATAAAAACCCCAGAACATCTCCTGCCCTTGCTACAATGATTCTTCTCGCTGCTTCTATAGGTGTTCAGCTATAGACTATGACAGTGCCTCTGTCATCTGCACCCCTCTCCACAGCTAATCACCAAGTGAACAATAGCATCTCTTGGGATCATTATAATGTCTTTGGGACACACTTGCCCTGGGATGTTATAAGAGATACCACAGAATGAGACACTGTCCCTATGTATTTCTATGATTAGGAGATATAAATAAGCTCCAGAAATAAAATCCTTGGGACTCTTGGTGTTTGCCTACAAGTAAATGCCTCTCTCATTATCTATGTGGCTATAATCCTAAGCACTGATGAAACATGTTTTCTTATACATAAATACACTTACTGCTTTAGTAGAGTGATTTAAATAAAAAATAAATCAGCTTCCCACTAAATGAAACTTATTCTGCTGCTACCTGGGTTTTCCCTTTTAAAGACACAGGTTTTGTGAGATGTTATGCTGAAGACTGGCATTCTTTTTCAAACATAAAAGTTTACTACCTGCAGTAGGCAGATCTTAATGACTGTGACATAGGTGTCAGAGGAACACCATTTTCATCTAAGGCCCACGATAGAGAATAGCTTAGTTTTCCTGACGTCAGCAGACAAAGTTCTTCAGTTTCATTTCCCTCAAGAAGAAAAGGCACATCTGTTTATAAAAAGGCATTAAAAACCTATGAATTTTTAAAAAAGTGTGCAGTTTGAGCACAATGTAGATTTTTTCCCTGACTTCCACTTGTAGATTACAGCTGTCCCCTAGGACCACAAAGCAAGTTCTATACTGACTCCAGGCTCTAATCCTACAGCTCTCCCATCTCCCCTCTAAGACACCTCAAGGCAAACTGCTTCAAACGGACTACAAAAGGAAGAGGAAAATATGGAGCTGAATACATAATGAATTACATTTCTATTGTCCTCTTTTTATGTGTAAAAGTTTCTTAATCATTCTTTCTAGGCGTGGCTTCCAGCAAGAGAGGGACCATCGGCAGCAGTAAAAAAGGCAGACAAGCTACTCTTGCTCGTTTCCCTGGATTCCTCCGCGTTTTCTCCCTCTTCCGCATTTTCTTTCTCAGTGCCCAGAGAGCTTAACAATACTCCTTGAAACTTTTGCCAGTTCCTAATGCTTGCTAAATTTTTTGAACCCAAGTCTTTTCTCCTAGGTCTCCCCAACCCTATTTTTATGCTTCATCTAGACTCTAAGCATTTCTCCTTCATTCTCTGTCCTTTCCAGGCTCTTTTGCCTACTATTTTGTTCTCTCTCCTCCTTGCTCCCCACTCATTCATCCTCCCTTCCTTTTCACCCAATGGGCAGAAGGAGATGCAAAACCCCTAGGAAGGTGAAAGGGAAGGAATCTGGGGGAGAAGGTGAGAAATGACAGTGTTCTCATAGAGGTACTAACTTAAATTCAATTGCATACAAAGAGTAAAATTAATTGAAAAACAGCAGAAATGTCCCTTCTTTCCTCCTTCCCTCCCTCCCTTTTTTCCTCCCTTCCCTGTCCAGTTTAGACCCATCAACACCTCTTGGAGAACACTTAGGCTTCACTAAAGGATAGGCAGAGGCAGAGAAGTCTCTACTCAGGAGTGGAGCACATGTTCCAGAGAGCATGCTGCTCTTACCTTGGATAACCTAGGAAAAGTACAGGTGCTAACTTCCAATTTTAAAGTCCCCAAAGATTTGGTTCGAGATAAAGTTTTAAACTCTATAGGTTTAAAGTCTGAAAGGAGATTTAAATTCATTTTTAGCCTAGTAGTGTAAATATAAGATTCAATACTCATGTAAATGATCCAAGGTCATTTAGAATAGGCCAGAATAAACATTGTTAATAAACTCACTGCTTCCTACTTCTCCATATGCAGGTATGACCAGCTTATCACAGCTAAATTCTACATATTCCAAAACAGTTTTGCTTTTCAGCTCTGTGTTGTTAGGTAAAGGTAAATACAGTTTTGCCAATAAGGTTGTCCTTTTACTTATTTCATAAACCTAAATATAAAAGAAATGGTGGACAGTTCACACAAAAAAATATAAAATAAGAAAAACAAAATAAGGAACCTCAATAACATTTTTATTAATTTTTTAAATACTAGAATATAAAAATAGATATTTCTCTATAGCATTTCAGCCACATGTTTATGAGGAAAGTAGATAATCACATGTCCTTAAAAGTATGATGCCTTTTACTGGTTTCAAAGAAAATGTATACAAGGATTAAAAATAGAGTTGTGAGAATACAGGTACATATAACACAATGCCCTAATAACTTAATTTTTGTGTAGCACTTTTAAAGTTCTTTATCTCATTTAAAACCTAATAAAATTGATAGGAAATAAATATTATTCTGCCCATTTAATAAATGAGGAAATGGAGGTTCTATATGAAACTATATTAGTTTTTATCACAAATGATGAAAACCCAGGTTTAATTACTTAGGAAAAGGGAGATTCATTGGCTCTTGGAATCCAAGGACAGACTGAACAACTAAGCTATGGGGGTGGAGGAGGGAGAAAAAGTTCCCAGAAGGAGAAGGAAGGTACTGGGTAGACGATATCGTAGATGTCCACTGGGTACTAAACCCATGTCTTCTGACTCTATATGCTGTGCTTTCTACTACAGTTCCATGTAAGTTCATTGCCATAACCACAAACCTAAACTGTTTTCAAGAGAAAAATCTTATTTTGACCTATAGTGTGTCATCAGTGCTTGGAAAAAATAGTGATATGTACTCTAAGAACAAGGAAAATCAAGGGGGGAGGGAATTGCCCCCTGAAAGATAAGAAATAATGTGCCAACCAAAAGGATAGTCAAGAGGGAATAAGAAAAAGGAACGTCAAAGAGGCAAATGCTTTTTCTGGTCATCTAAATACTTTCCTGGTCAGAGTGAATTTAAGCCAACACATTGGTCCGGTTGACAAAGGGATTCCGAATGTGGAAAGGTTTGTAGGGGTTGTGGCTAATGGAATTCAGCTATTCAGGTTTGTGGAATTAATTGTAAATCAGTAAGCTGATTAACTAAAAGAGAAAATGAACTGATAAATATATTCAAATGTTAAACTAGAATTCTGATTTTATACATCAGCCTTGTGAATTTGCTTTGAGTATGTAGATGAATCCTCAGTGGACTATCAAATCCAATTTCTGAGACTGCGGGGCTGAGGGCCATATCCTGACAGTTGTAAATGTACAGAGGCAGAAAATTCCACCCAGTGAAGTTTCCCAGAACATAGCCTTGTCCTCTGATGGCAGCTATCAACACCACCATGTAGCTGAGATGGAGAACGAAAGTGTTACATGTGGAGGCACTGGAATGTACAAAAGGTCAAGGTAGGAAATTGCAAGGATGTATGGGAAAAGACTAGCAGTTCTGTTTGTATGAAGTGGAGAATGAGTAAAGCGGAGTGATAAGAAATAAGAAATGTAAGTGAGAATCTGTTAGGCTAGGGTATATAGATTTATTTTGCAATGTTTGCAGCTACTAATGGTGCAATATATCCTTAGCTACATTCCTCTCCCTCCCCACCTTCTACTTTGTTAGCATCATGTGCTAAGTGATGGGATGATGAAGGACTCAAAATACACATTTATGTATTTGCGGACAGGGCAGATTTTAAATGTCAAATGGTTGGCCTATCATGTCACAAGTTATTTTAGGTACAATAGTAGAAAAGTATTACCAGCATATTTTTAAAGTAGGAATATCAACAGGGGCATATTGTAAGATAATAGCAAGTTGATAGCATAAATAAACACAGCATCTGATTAGGGACAGAATAAAATTATTTTAGGCATCAAAAAGTAATTTTGATTTAAGGTGTGTAATGATAATCCTCTCACCACTGCCCATCCCGCCCTCCATAAATCTTTATTCCCTTCTAACTTTTCTTTCAGATCTAGCTTCAAGTTTAACCCCTATATTAACCACTAATACTTCTTTCTAGGAGTCCTGGTGGCACAGTGGTTAAGTGCTTGGCTGCTAACTGAAAGGCTGGCGGCTCCAACCCACCAGCAGCTCTGTGGGAGAAAGATGTGACAGTCTGCTTCAGTAAAGATTACAGTCTTGGAAACTCTATGAGGCAGTTCTGTCCCACAGAGTCACTATGAGTCAGAACCGACTCGATGGCAATAGGTTTGGTTTTCAAAATTTTTCTCCATCATCCTATTTTCTTTTTCCTTAAGTGCAGGGGACAAGAACTGGGGGTCTCTTGAGTGTATATTCCTTCATCAGCTTCTTAAAGTGATAAAAAAAAAAAAAAAGAAGAAGAAGAAGAAGAAAAGATGAAAAACAAAACAGCAGAAGACTTCAACCAGCAAGTGAGGGGTGGCGGCAATTTGGAGAAAGCATTCGACAGTTACAATAACTGCTACTCATTATACTTTAAACGACACACTTTCACCTCACTGGCTAGTTAACAGTAATGCTGTACATGCAGGTTTGGTAGGAATTTAAAATAGCAGTAGAGAGCAGAAGTACTTGGTATACCCACAAATCAAAGAATTTTTTTTGTACTTATGGTATAAAAGATTATTAATTAATTATAAATATATTAATTATAAATATCTTGCCTACCCACATGGATTAGTCATCTTTTAATATAAAAGAAATTACTTATATAACAGTAGCTAAAAAAATTTAAAACTACTTATGACATAAAATAAGATACAAAATAAATGACAATGGCATACCTCCAAGCAAATTGTTTCAGGCCAATTGATTAGTTGAATATTGAAAATTTGCTGAAACATGACTTTAAAGTCAATCTGTAGGGGAGATACTGAAGTGCAAGAAACCTGTTTATCATTGTAAAATATTTTAATAAAATATTTAAGCTTCTGAATTTTGGCTCTCCTCTTTTGTTCATGCCTAAAAATTAAATAAACCTTTAAGTGACCATTGAAAAGTAAAAGGGATATAAAATTGTTCTTTGCAAAATGCAATTTAGCATGCTAAAAATGAAGATGATCGTTTTAGAGGACAAATGGTAGCTTTCAACGAAATAACACTTGCCTGTATGTAGATAAAGTCTCTCCTACTCAGATGTTTTTTAAAAAAGATATTTACTCAAAAGTACAAAAAGAACTAAAATTAGAGCACTATAAATCATTCAGTTATTTATCTGACTGAATTATAATTTTAAGAGATTATAGCATTTACCCTCCAGGTGCCTAATGAGAGACCTGAGGGACTTAAGAATGGGGATGGGGAAGTTTGAATCAAGAATTCAAAAATACTTTCTAACTTTTAAAAGACATTGCATAGTGAAGAATTAACTTTACCCAAAGAGAGGGCCTTTGTCCCTGGTTCCTGTGAGACAGCTTCTAAACCCTTGGAATCTTCCAAGTGATTGGTGTGTCTTTGTTATTAATGGTGAGCTCCTCAGGACCACACCTAACGGTTTATACTAAAAAACCATGTGACTAGAGGAGAGAGGAAAGTGGAGAGGGTTTGGAGATTGAGTTCAATCACATGGCCAATGACTCAATTAATCATGCCTACATAATGAAGCTTCAGTAAAAATTCTGGACACTGAAGCTCCAGGGAGCTTCCCTGATTGGCAATATTCTGTATTGTCACATGTTGATGTGCCAAGAGAGTGATGTGTCCTGACTCCAAGGGGAGAAGATAACAGAAGCTTCACATTTGGGATGCTCCCAGATACCATCTTATGAGTATCTCTCTTTGCCTACTTACGATTTGTACCCTTTTGCTATAACAAAACTTTAACTGTAATAGCACTTTTGATGAGTTCTGATAGTCATTCTAGCAAATTATCAAGCCTGAAGGGGTAGTGGGCACCCCCAAATTTGTATCCAGCTGGTCAGAAGTAAAGGTGGCCTGGGACCCCAAACTTGCAGCTGGTGTGTGAAGTCTTGGGCAGATTTGGCAATCTGGAGGATGGTGTCTGTAAAGTATGACCTAACTCCGAGTAGCTGGTGTGAAAAGTCATTTGCAGACACACACGCGCGAGTGCACACACACACACACACACACAGACACACACACACGTTTTCAATAACCTCAAGTGGGTGGCTCTAAGACAATAGGCTTGCTGTATCCTCTTAAAAACTCATCACCCTCAAGTCGATTCCAACTCAAAGTGACCTTATAGGACAGAGAAGAACTGCCCCCTTCCAACTCAAAGTGACCTTATAGGACAGAGTAGAACTGCCCCTAGGGTTCCTAAGGAGTGCCTGGTGGATTTGAACTGCCAACCTTTTGGTTAGTAGCTAAACTCTTAACCACTATGCCACCAGGATTTCCATCCTCTTAAAGGTCTTTTAAATCCCCTTATGCTTTAGACTGTGCACTCCTTTTCTCCAGGAGAGTGGGGAATCTGTTCTTTCTCTGAACCCGAAGATCAGAAAGGTAAGCCAGGTTACTTCCCTGGAACTTCTACGGAAACCACTTGTTGGAGAAATAAACTGATTTGTTGAGTGATATGAAACTCCTAAAGAGACTCTTCCATTCATTCATTCACTCAACCAATATTTATTGAATACCTTCTCATAATGATGTGGGCATTTTAAATAGATAATAATGGCATAATTATCTCAGGCTCTTTTTGGAAGTAGGTGTGGAACAAATGATAAAGGATTGATAGTGATGGTTGTGTCTCTGTGTCTGCTACACTTTGTATTAATTTTTTAATGTAACCACACATTCATTTATTTAATGACTATTTATTGGGCACCCACTACGTTCCAACACTGTGCTAAATGATGTACATTCAAAATACTCAAAGAGATCGGTCCAAAGTGTCTAACGGGATAGAGATGTTGAAAAGTTAGACCTAGTTCAGTGCTCTCAGCTGCCATATCCTCTCTAAGGGAGATAGAGACCACAGGCCTAGTAGATGGAAGAAATGGAGATATGTATAATGTCTGTTTTTACATGAAAGTCCTAGGAATAAGTCACAACTGGGAAGGAATGAAGTTTGTACTGTCAAAGAAGTAAATTGTCTAGAGGGCTCTCTTGATAGGGAATACTTTTTATGAGAATCAGTGGTTTTTTTAGGAAGCAAAAACAGTCATATAACCTTATTTTGTACTGTGGCTTTATATACCACCTATGTAGACCTAAACAAAAATGACCACCTCCACAAAAAATAACAATTATTAATATCTGAAACTTAGCAGTGCAGACTTGATAGGTTTTATAGTCAAACAAAACTAGTTTATGTTCTGTCTCAGTCATGTATTAGATGTGTAACCCTGCACAATTTAACCCCTTTTAAGCATCAATTCCCTCATTTGCAAGATGAGGATAAAACCAACTCCGCAGAGCTATGGTGACAATTAAATGTGAAAATCTATTTTAAAAAACACTTAGCAGATTACCTAGCAAATAGTAGTCATTCAAGAAATCTAACATGATTAATAAAAACAGTAAGATTAATGTTGTTGTTTTTAGTTGCTATTAAGTTGATTCCAACTCATGGTGCCCCCATGTGCGTGCAAAGTAGAACTGCTCCATAGGGTTTTGGAGGCTGTGACCTTCCAAAATGCCCCTGGGTGGGAAGAGCTTAACCATTTGTGCCACCCAGGTACTCCCATACATTAAAAGACAATATGTAATGAAGGAATAATTCTTAAAAAATACTTACTGTGAACATTTGTATAAGTTTGTTAATTCTACAGTGAAAGAAAGTTGTGGCATCAAGGTAATTGGCTTTATCCCTTGAATTTCTGTTTCTTCAAGTTCTGAAGCTAAACATGAGAAGCTCTAGAAACAAAAAAATAAATAAATATAATTTAAAATGTACGTTCATTAATTAGGACAATTATTATTACAATTAAACTTTTATTTCTTATATTTGTCACTTTGTTGTATAACTTTTACAAATACCAAGATTTCCTATTCCACCAAATAATGAAATATTATAACCAGTTAAGTTGAATGTTATTTTGCAATATAAATACCTCCTGTTGTTCCCCATTCTTATATCCTTTTCCTTCAGTTTTCCTCTCAGTCTCAGACATTTCTGACAGTTCTTCTTGTTTTTGTTCATCACATTCATTCATTTTAATCCTAATTAATATTAAATAGACTTATTTAAAGCAGAAATAATGGAGGTGTTTAAAAGGTGTTAGAGGTCTTGCCAACACACACACACACACACACACACACACACACACACACACAACCAATCTCTTACAAAAAAAGATTTCATATCCCAAGGAAATGATCAACATGATAAAGTCATACAAAAAGAAAAACTTTATAAGCTTACTCTCAGTTTTCACAGATTTCTCTCTACCTTGCAATTTACCACTAAGATTTACAGCTCTGCCTACAGGCATCAAGAAACCTCTTCTCCAGTGAGAACAGGTAAGCCGAGGGACAGGGAAATATAAACACACACCATGTTTCCTGTCATTTTTCTTCCTCATATTTTTAAGCTGTGAGGACATGATCATGTATAAGGGCAGGTGACCACAGTGATGTTAAGTGGCAAACTGGTTTTACTATTTGGCATTTATGCACACATAGTAAGCAGTTCACTACATAAGTAATACTAATAATGATATCCTACTCTTATAAAGTACTTACTAAGTACACCGACAGGCGATATCCTAAGTACTTTACACATATTTAACCAGTAGCCAGTTGGAGTCCCGTCAATTCCAATTTATGTCCCTGGGTGGCGCTAACTGTTAAGCACTTGACTACTAACCGAAAGGTTGGCAGGAAAGGCCTGTCCTATTGACCTGTTTCTGAAAGGTCACACCCTTGAAAGCCCTGTGGAGTGCAGTTCTACTCTGCACACATGGGGTTGTCATGATTACTCATATTAACTGATTTAATACTCACAATGACCCTATGAAGTAGATACTATTATCAACTTTTATTAGTAGTACAACAAAACCCAGTTATCTGGAATCCTTTCAGAAAATAATTGGTCTTGAGTTGAGTTTTCCCATAGCTTAAGGGTTTATTATTTTCAGTGCAGTTTGTTTTTTTAATTAAATCATTCAAGAAGGAAATCCTTTGATAAGATATTTTATGCTCTGGTGGAAATGTAAAAATGGTGCAGCTGCTTTGGAAAATAGTCTGACAGTTCTTCAAAATGTTAAGCATAGAGTTATGGTATGACCTAGCACTTCCACTTATGGCTACATATCTAAGAGAAATGAAAACATATGTCCACACAAATACTTTACATGAATGTTTATAGTAGACTTATTCATGATAGCCAAAAAGTGGAAACAATCCATATGTCCATTAAGTGATGAATGAATAAATAAAATGTGGTTGTTGTTGTTAGATCGGTGGAGTTGGTTCTGATTCATAGCGACCCTATGTACAACAGAACGAAACATGCTCAGTTCTGCACCATCCTCATGATTGTTGTTATACTTGAGCGCATTGCTGCAGCCACTGTGTCAATCCATTCATTGAGGGCCTTCCTCTCTTTCTCTGACCCTCTATTTTATGCAGTATATCCAACGAATAGAATATTAATTAGCAATAAAAAGCAATGAAGTTAGATCTAATACATACTATAACGTGGATGAACCTTGAAATCATTATGCTAAGTGATGTAAGGACACAAAAGGCCATGTATTGCATGATTCCATTTATTTGAAATGTCCAGAATAGGCAAATCCATAGAAACAGAAAGTAGATTACTGGTTGTCACTGAGAATGCAGAGCGACTGCTAATGGTTTCTTTTTTCTTTTAACAGCTTTATTGAGATATAATTCACATACCATATAATTCACGCACTTAATGTGTACAATTCAATGGTTTTTAGTATATTCACAGATATGTGCAACCATTATCCAGTCAAACTCAGAACATTCTCATTACCTTATGAAGAAACTCCATACTCTTTAGCTATCACTCTCCTATGGCTGCCTTTCCCACCCCCAGCCTTAAGCAACCACTAATCTACTCTCAAATGAATGGAATCATGAAATATGTATTTTGTGGCTGGCTTCTTTCATTTAGCATGTTTTCAAGGCTCCATGTTGTATAGCATGTATCAGAACTTCATTCCTTTTAATGACTAAATAATATTTCATTATTTGGATTTACCACATTTTGTTTATCCATTCATCAGTTGATGGACATTTGGACTGTTTCCAGCTTTTGGCTATCATTAACAATACTGCTAAAAACATTCATGTACAAGATTTTGTGTGTACTTGTCTTTACTTCACCTAGGCATGGCAGTGATCTTGGGTCCATAGCTCTCTCTTTCTATTCTGGGCCAATGATAAGGCTCTGAGGAATGACAAAGGACTTAATATTATTGTACCAAATGTTGTGGCTTTTGCTGTTTGTATAGCTTGCACTTTCTTTCTTTCTCTTTTTAAAAGCCTATTTGACAGTGATCTGAATCCCTTCCAAGTAGGCAGGTGCCTAATAGAGAACACAGTGAAGACAACATGGAGGAATATGGGTTCTCTGTGCTATGTACCAATACTGTGGTTTGGGTTCAGCAGCCAGGAAACAACAAGGTCTGTAGCTACTTGCTTAGCCAGTTTCTCTAAGCTTAAAGCAATGTTGCTAACATTTGACAAGCAGAGTTTACTGCCAGAATGAAAAGACAGGGCTATATCCTCAGCCTCTTGCTACCTCACTCATCTCTCCTTGGTGAAAAATATTGACTATACCATGGACTGCCAGAAGAACAAACAAATCTGTCTTGGAAGAAGTACAGCCACAGTGCTCCCTGAAAGTGAGGATGGGAAGACTTTGTCTCACATTCTTCTGACATGATATCAGAATGGACCAGTCCCTGGAGAAGGACATCATGCTAGGTAAAGTACTCTTCCAGTGAAAAAGAGGAAGACCCTCAACGAGATGGACTGACACAGTGGCTGCAACAATGGGCTCAAACAGCAATAACAGTGAGGATGGCACAGGACTGGGCATTGTTCTGTTCTTATGTACATAGGGTCGCTATGAGTTGGAACCAACTTGATGGCATCTAATGACAACAAAAATAAAGTTCATGGCACTTATGTGGGGGTGGAACCATGCAAATGAGGTCTATGGAACCCTAAAGTAGGGATTGATCACTTTTTCCATCCCGCTAGGCTTAAAATGACTCATCCCAGAGGTGGGAGGAAAAGATCTCACCACCACCAAGGAAGAAGAGCCAGGAGTGGAGCGCATCCTTTGAAGCCGGGATCCCTGCGCTGAGAAACTCCTGGCAGGAGACAGTGCAGTGGGCTTCCCAGCCCATGGAATGAGAAAGCTGAGAGCCTTTGGACAGCAGCCTTGCTGGAGGAGTAGGGTGCCTCCAGGCATTTGGTGGGACTAGGTTTGCTGACTTGCAGAGCTAGAGCTGAGCACCTTCAGGCTGAGGCAAACTGGTGGAGTGGGCACTTATGGGCAGAGCTAAAAGAGCTTTGTAACACCTGCCCAAGCAGGGCAGAGGCCCAGAGCCAGAGAGAGGCATGCCTGTGGGAACAGCTGAGAAGAAGCTGTCCTGATGGAAAGAGGAAATGTATCCGGAGTGTTCCTGAACCTGAATTGTAACCTGTCACTTCCCTAACAAACTCCATAACTGTTGAGTATGATCTGTGAGTTCTGTGTGGCCATTGCAATGAATTATTGAACCCAGCAGAGAAGTAGAGAGTGCATGGGAGGGACAGCTGATGTCAGAATTAGTAAAGATGACGGAGAGAGGAGGTATGTCTGACCTCTACCTCATAGGAATCAGCCTTGGGCTGTTGGTCTTGATTTTCCTTTCCCTTTGTGAAGTTAAAGGGGAGATCAGATGCCCCTGCCACACCATAAGAGCAAAAAAGCAGCCACTCACCTCTGAAACTGTAACTTTATTGGGGTGCTTGTAAACCCCTGCCGTTTTCTAAGGGATTTTATCTGTTTCCAAGTCCGTAACATACTGTGTAGTAGCGAGAGGTCCTTTTCCCTTTCTAAGTCATACAGCTGTTTTGTATTACTACAGCAATAATGGTAAATAAAAAATACATTGGTGGATTAGAACTATAATTAAAAACATCTTGGAAAAATGTATTGCACAAACTCTTCTGAAATCCTATCTTATTTATTTATTTTTTCTATCTTACCCACATCTTGATCCAACGACTGAAATTTCATCATTAGAGGGTCGTTCTTTCATGACTTAAAGGTTTTCCCTATTCAAAAGTGCCCTGCTAATACGCAAACGCTCCCAGAAAGGAAATATGCTAGCTCCACCTCTGCAAGATCCTGAGGTATAAAGACCTCAAAGAAAGAGGAGGGATTTAGGAAAGAAGAACAATGAAGGAGAGGGGATGGGGAAACACATACATTTTGATATTTTGCTTGCTATTTATCAGCACTTAGTTAATTTCCAGTTGGTATTTCACTATTTACAGAGAAGAAACTTCCAATCAGGCAGCACATACCCCTTCCAATACTTTTTTACTTGCTTTGTTGCAGTTAGATTCTCCCACAACTTCTATTTTACCACCTAGTAAGTTCCAGTTGGCAGCTCCAAAGCCACTAGTTTGGGACTGGTTCAGATTTAAGATGCCAAAATTTCAAGAAATCTTGATGGGAATGGATGGTGGCAGCCTCACACCATAGTCTTCTGAATCACTCTAAGGAAGTTCTGGGGAAGGATTCTTAATAAGTCAAAGTACATGAAGATAAAAAATATACTTTTCCAAACTCAGTTTATATCAGTTCCTCAATGTGGCCTTCTTTGAATACCCTCCTACCACAAAGCTAAATATCCGTACCATAGCCCTTTACACTTCCCCTTTGTAACACTCATCACACTTGTAAAAACACATTTAATGTATGTTTCCCTGTAAGACTTCAAGGTTCAGTGTACTGCAGGGTTAAGGGTCTGTCCTGGAAATATCACCAATATTTTGTGTAACCCTATATAACCTCCCAACCCTTTATAACTCTTGTAGCTGAAGCTCAGAACAAGAATACTCTAAGAGGTGTGGCCATTTTGAATAAGTGCTATTAGAAGTGTGATACAGTGGAAAGAACAGCAAGAAACTTGGAGTAAGACAAACCTGGTTTTAATCATAGTTCTCCCACTTAATAGGTAATGTTAGGCAAACTGCTTAAATGTTCTCAGTCTCTGTATGCCCAATTCTCTGTATGCTCAATCTTCTTTCAACCTCCAGACATGTTTTTAAGCAAAGTACCTTTAAACTTAAAGCAATGGGTCTAACGGTTACTTAGGAAAAAATATGATACACTATTTTTAATGTATTTCCAGACTTCCTGGACATTCTTTATTGGATTTATTAAACTTTTTTTCAGATGAACAATTAGAACCATTTCTTTAAATTTAGAGGTGCTTTACCAGAAGGTATAGTAAGTGTATTATTTGAAAATCAAAGCAATATGTTAATAAGATGCTCATTCTATGTTTCATGGCTGCACAGACACTCTGTATTAATATGAGAAATTACACTGATTGATTTTCTAATGTTAAATCACCTTTGTATTCCTCGTATGATCCCAACTTTGTCATGAAATGTTATTTAATAAAATCCTGTTTAGCGTATCTGTGTCTATGTTCATGAATGAAACTGGGTTGTAATAACTTTTTTTGTACTCTTCTTGTTGGGTTTTAATTTCAAGTATATGAAACCTTATAAAATGAATTCAGAATTTGGTCCTTTAACAGGCATGTAAATTAATCAATGCAATAAAAATGTTATAGATGTTATGTTATAATAGAAGTCTACACAAGTTAGAGGTCCCTAGGTGCAACAAGTAGGGACTACTAACCTAAAGGTAAGTAGCCCCGGCGGTGCAGTGGTAAAAGCGCTCAGCTGCTAACAGAAAGATCGGCAGTTTGAATCCACCAGCCCTCTGAAGGAGAAAGATGTGGCCATCTGCTACTGTAAAGATTTACAGCCCTGGAAACCGTAGGGGGCAGTTCTACTCAGTTCTATAGGGTCACCATGAGTTGAAATCGACTCGACAGCAGTGGGTTGGGTTAGAACCTAAAGGCTGGCGGTTCGAACCCACCCAGCAATACCATTGAAGAAAGGCTTGGTGATCTGCTTCTGTTAAGAAAACCCTATGGAGCAGTTCTACTCTGTAGTACATGGGGTCGGCACGAGTCTGAATCAACTCACGGCAGCAGGTTTGTTTTTTGTTTGTTTTGTTTTATTATGTGGCAGGCACTATTTTAGATGCTAGGAACTAACATTCTAGCACGCAAAAAGACTGAACCATTAATTACAAATGTGATGAGGGTTACAAACGGGGAAATACGAAGTGCCATGTAAGTATATGAAGAAAAAGAATTTAACTTAACCTAATGGGCAAATAAAAGCCTCCCTGAAGAAGTGACAAGAAATAAAATTTATGTGGTGAGTAAGTGCTAGGCAGAAAATGGATGAACAAACATTCCAGAAATAAGACACATTAAAACAAAGCTATAGAGGTGTTACAGGGTATAGCTCATGTAGGGAACTGGATTATAAAGTTAAAAACAGAGACCTCTGATATGAGACTGGAGAAGTAAGCAGGAATCAGATTATGCAGAGCCTTACAGATCATGCTAAAGCTACTGAATTTTATCTTGAAGGTAATAGGGAGCCACTGAAGAGTTTTTACTTTAGAAAACTCACTCTGGTTTCAGTGTAGAACATGGTTTAGAGAGAGGCATTTTAGGAGACTAATTGAGTAGCAATGAAGTTTTACAGTGGGAATGGCAGGGAGGGCAAGGATGGGAGAAAGATTAAAAAATAATAAAAATAAAACAACTTGATTACTGCTTGGATGTGAAGGATCATAAATGACTTGCTGATTTCTTTCCTCGTGACTAGGTGATTGTGAGTATCAGGCACCTAGTCGACAGTCATTAAAGGGTGGTTAAATGCAAATGTGCTATTGGTTAACTGTATTTTATGTGTTCATCTTTTCTAACAGAAACATTGTTTTCCAAATGTCCACAGCTACATTTTGCAGCATTTCAACACCACCTCCAAGATTTTTCTGAATGGAAATCTATTGCATTGCTTTTTTTTTGCTTCAGTAAAAGCGATTTCCTTCTTCTGTGATACCCACCCCCCACCACCCCCCCAACACACATAATGGACCCCCATCCTCACCACTGGACCCCATCTGAGCCTGCTTTTCTCTTTTTCCTGCATCAAAGTTTTCTTGCTCTGTATTCATTATGCCAATGTCTGTTCTTTGCCTTCAATTTTAGCTAATCTTAAAAATAACATTAGTTTGTTGTTTTGTAAATGATGATGGCTTCTATTCATTCATTCAACCAATATTTATTGAGTATTCATCACGTGCCAGGCCTCATGTAACACATACTATGTCAACCTTCTCAAATAACACATCTGCATTTAACTACGTTATTCTAGGGAAACAATACTTCAAATAAACTGTTGACTTTAGCAGTGATAGTTGGTAAAGCCAGGTCAGATCAATGCATAGAGAATCAGGGAATTTCTGTAACTATTAAATCACTCTCATATACAGATTATTATGTCTTGTGTACAGTAGAACTTTCTACCCAATAAGTACCTCCCAGTGAGCTTTCCTGTTTTTGGAGATTCCTTGGCACGTGATTATGTTTTGACTTGGAATTATTTTTCCAGTAATTTCATGCTTTTCTAACTTCTCTTCCCAGCTAGTCTATAAGCCAATGGTTCCCAACTTGAGGACCCTGGTTTTCACAGACATCCTTAAATCCATATGCTCATTAAGTGTTGTCTTTAGACTGAATTAATGATATTTTTTGTATATATGTATATGTGTATGTACGTGTGCTAATTCTCAAATATATATAAAACCTTAATATAAAACAAATCAATTTAAAAGTATTAATGAATTCATAGTAGTTTTTCATATTTTCTTAATCAATGGATATTAAAACTATTTTTATGTGTACTTCTGTGAAATGTTTTTATACAAAAACAGGTCTTAAGAGGTGGGGCCAAGATAGGGGAGTAGTCAGACAATTCTGGTGGACCCTCTTACAACAAAGACCCAAAAAAACAAGTGAGTCAATTATATATGACAATCTAGGAGCCCTGAACACCTAAGGCAAAGTTCAGGAACTGGACTGAGTGGCAGGGGGAGGGAGAGACAGCTTGGAAGCAGCAGAGGAGTTGCCAGACCTGACCCAGTGAGAGCCTGAGCCCTTCAGGCCTGATCAGCTCATGGGTGAGTGGTGAGGCAGGCAAACACCTGTGTTCAGGAGGCATGTTTTCCACACCGGGAGAGACCCAGCACCACAGAGTCTACTCAGCCACCCAGAGCCAGTGAGAAGCAGCCCTCATTGGCAAAAGATAAGTACTTGTGTATCACCTACAACATGGATCAAAAACACCCCCCTTAAACTTATGAGGCCAACTCTTCAGAAAGGGATTGGACTGGACTGTGGGACATAAAGTGATACCTGTGAGGAGTGTGCCTCTTAGCGCAAGTGGATACAAGAGACTAAACGGGCAGTTTCTGTCCAGAGGTGAGATGGGAAGGCAGAGAGGGTTAGGAGCTGGTTGACTGCACATGGGGAATCAGGGGTGGAAAGGAGGAGTGTGCTGTTACAGTATGGGGAGAGCAATTAGAGTCATATAACAGTGTATGTATAAATTTTTGTATGGAAAAAATTAAAAAAAAAAACACCCTCCTTAGGGAAAAACCTCTCTCCCATTTACCTCCCTGCTCCCTGCTCTGCACTAGCTCCTGGACCAGCTTCAGCAATTGCCAAGTCCCCTGGGCTGGAAGTAGGATCCACCACATGCACTGAGCCATTCTCCTGGCCTTGGAGAGTGAACAAATTAACAGACAAGGGGAAAAAAATAAACTGTCTCCCCTAAGCCAGGAACCCAGGGTAAGCAAAGCTCCTTTGCCTAGGCACAGGCATAAGGGATCCACAGACTCTGAGTGCCTTTCCCCCACAGAGACTTGTGTGGGCCCATTTCAATAGCATAGGCCCTCATTACTGGAGTACAACAG